GACTTCGTGAAAGAAAGGGCTGTTCTCGCCCAGATCTTTAGCCAGTCGTTGACCGTAGCAAGTGTCGAGGAGATTGAAATGCTTGCCCGCACTCCGCACCGACGGAGGTCTGCCAACTGGATTGGACTCCCAATGCGAAAGTCCCAAGGCTGAGTCACAACAATACTCTTGCAAAGGGCGATCCGGCAGGCAGCCCGTCAATGCGACGCACGCTGATTGGTAGCGTTCCAGCAGCTCCGCCTCTTGGTTGGGCTGGTTCGCTGCGGCTCCTCTAGCTCCACCAGAATGCCCCCCCGCGGCAGATCCACCGGGGGCGGCCAATGCAGCTTGAGGCTGCTCCAAGATCTTCAATCTGGCGTCTACAGACGCGGAGAACTGCGCCAGCTGTTCCGAGATCTGGTTCAGCTGGGCTCCGAGGTCTCCCATGAAGGGAAGGCACGGCACAAGGTCCACTTGTGCCGGGGTGCAGCGTGGATCGCAGTCCACGTGGAGAGACAGAGTTCCTAAAGGGCCTGCGCTGGCTTCACTTCGCGAAGTGAAGCAGCGAAAATAGTGGCGACACAGCGAGGTGCATAGGCTTACAACAAGAGTGCGACCTCAGCTGTGGTGAGAGTGAGAAGGTGTCCATTGACTGACGAAAATGCCAAAACCAGGCTGCGTGAGTGTCCTTCACAAATCGTCCCGCCCTGGCCTATCCGTTCAATTTAAACTCTCTTTACTGATCGTAAAGGCCACATCTAAAAATACAAGAGCGGCTTCGACGGATGTTGTCGTAGGCTTCGCAGTGGAGAGAAAATGGATCTCGTCTTAAGGAGCCAAGTAACATAAAGGACACAATCGCCTTGAAAATTCTGGGTTCAAGCCATTCGCACCTGCCTGGATTCAGCTTTTGCTAAAAAAGCGGAAGTGTCTTCTCTCAACAGTGTCCAGCCAATTCGTCTAAAGACAACTTGTCTAACAGACAAGTGGTCTAAGGACAACTTGTCTAACGGGTGATCCTCCCTAAACGCGGCAATGGGTTGGTTGTGTACCAATGACACAAACTTCTTTGTTACAAATACCACTCGTTTTCAAAAGCCGTTGCGTGTATTCAACCGCCCTATGGTTAAGTCAATTGCAACGTTGACTCCGTCTTTGCGTTAAGGGTCGTTACGGAGTCTGCGGAGTAGGCAAGTTTATGGGAGGCCCGAGGGCGGGCAGGAGAAAATTTGGTCCGATCACAATGGCTTGCCTACTAGAAGGGGCGTCGGGACACCCAACAACTTCGCGACAAGCTAACGCAAATAATGGATACGTATCTCGCCACATGATTCATTTAGTCAAAAAGCGCTACTATTCCAGGCAAGGAAGCTATCATCTACATGGCTTGCTTATGTATCTGATATATTGATGACGCATATATATTGGACCAATGAAGATCCCATGCAACTATACCCACACTACGATAGGATTAAGAGTTGGTGCGCAAACAGGAAACAGTTCTCCACTGCGCAAGCCAACACGTTCGTGAACATCTTTGGCTCCACAAACGGCATTGAAACAGGATGTTAACATACTCTTAGAATCAGATTCACAGATTGAGCGCACTCCGTTGGGTAATTTTTGAAACGGGACGAGACGGGGCATCAGTATCAGTGTATCGAGCCAAGGCTCGGGGCGTGTCTGTCGACGCTAAATTCTCATAAAGGTCTGAATGACAGAATGTTGCAAATGCGGAATTGACTGTTCACGAACTGACACTTCTGCGGTCAAAATCCTTTGGTCTCTCTAGAACAACAACCAAGCCGGAATCACCAAAGAAGCGGTGATCCATTCGAACAACATTGGAGGCCACCTTCCAGATGTTGAAACCTCGCATGATAATTCACACGGGTGCTCTCATTTCATGTAGGTTATTGTTGGAGTGCTTTGCAAGCAAACATAATTACTGATCGGCTACATCCACACAGGGTTCCAAGGACACTATTCACATTTTGCATGGGCAGTATTAACAGATACAGCAAAAGAAACATCTTAAGTGCAGAGGCTGAAATTCTCCTTACATTCTCTTTGCGAGGAATTGCTCCCAACAAGAGGATTATCTACAACACCCTTTCCAAATAAAAGGTAAAGAATCGGCTCTCAATGCTTTGGTCTTGCGCCCAGCTTGGCCAACAGGGTGCTCACAAGTGAGCCAAGATTGGAAGCCTTGGAAAGTTGGGCGCTTGTTTGATATCGGCAGACCTCGGAGCACTCTTAGTTTCGGCACTTGTCCAGTGGTCGAGGGACAGCATTTCATTCACCTTGACTTCTTTGATCACAGTAGAGCATTGCGGCTGCCCGTTTGCTTTGATGCATAATCTTCTTGGTCTTCTGACGGACTTTTTGAGAAACGCGCCGATTTGATTCACGTACCATAGAACACGGAGGATAGCACAGAGTTTGTTGAGTAGCTCGGGGGCCCTTAGTTAGCGGCCCCCGCGTTGTTGAACATGGCCGCCGGAGCACAGCGCGGGGTTTATGTTAGATAGCGCGGGGTGTATGCAGCTCCCATGACAGGACATCTTGGTTCACTGCCAAAGGTGCAGCGATGCAAAAAGCGGGAAATCGCAAGACAGTTATGGTGAACTCCTCCCAATTTTACTGTGATTGGCCCCCTAATTTAAACCGGTATTCAATGTCCCAATTGGCCTGGCGGTCAGTGTGGCAGCGCCGGGGCGTTGCTGATTCGTCGACTTGATCAGAACGCGGGGGCACGTAAAATGACGCGGGGGTACGCAATACAGTGCTTCCCGCGTTCTTGACGCCAACCCTGATGCTGAACGCGGGGGAAGGGGGCGCTATCCTGCATGATCTGCGGTACCAGCCAAGCCAGCTCGTAGGACATCGCGTCGTTTTCAGATTGGTTCCCTTTCCCGCAGTTCAGGTGTCTCTAAAAAGGCGTATTCGCTGATTTCGCAGGTCTTGTCATTGTGCTTGGTAAACATAAGTCTCCCAAGTCTCCTGAGTGCACAAGTCTCCCAAGGCTGCTGAGTGCGCTGGTACTTCGTCAAAAGATGTCGCCGAGTAGCCCCTTCGCCACTGCAAGCTTGATGTGCATGCAGTTGCGCCATCATCCAGGCGACCACAGTTGCATGCAACATGCGTGAATATCAGCAAGCAAGCTTCTTTCAGGAAAATGCATATTGCCGCAAGTAGTTTAAGAGAAATACAAAACATAGTGATTTGAAATAGGTGTATCCCATTTCTGGAGGTGCCCACACTGCGCAAGTGTTTGCACACTGCGCAGGCGCCATCTCTGCAACTCCGTCGGCAGCCCTTTCAGCATGCCACATGCGCCGCGGGTCCACAGGCGAGAAGCATTAACAGCAGCACACAGTTTTCTTCCACGCTTCTGAGGCCTGCATGAGCTGCCGGGCACTGTGTCCTGCGCCGCAAAAACGATAGCTTGCCATGCCGCCGCAATCGTGCAGTTTGGCCTGTTGCCCGGCATCGCAGGGCAACCCAGCACGCCTCGGCAGGGCAGAATTCTGCTGAGGGTGATGCGCTCGACGTCGGTCGACTGGCAGGCGCAGGCCGTCAGCCCCTGTCTTGAAGACAGGCATAGAGCGCCCAGTTGGCACAAGCCGATCCGTGTTTACACCACTGCGAGCTCAACACTGTGCTGCGCAGTGGAACAGGACCAGTTGGTGCAGTGCAGTGCTTGCCCTTTGATTCTGGGTTGAGGGCATGGGGTTGAGCGGTGGCACCCTTTCTAATTGACGTGTGGACAGGTCGCTGCAGTGATCATGGACAGTACGATGTCAAAGTGCCCCATCCGCGCATACACGGATCTTCACCGCTGTTCCTGTCAGAATTCACATTACCGTCCGATACCCTTCATTTCAAGACAAAAAGGCATTCAGGTCGTAAAGGTATGAGGCCGTGAACGTCATTAAGGTCATGAAGGTCATTTGCGCGTTTGGGGCGTTCAACTCTTTCGGGATTTAGGTCCCTAGTACCCTTCATGTCTTTCCTGACCCCTTCATGAACTTCATATCGTAATCATAGGTATCGGACGATGGTCAGAATTCAATGCGGCGTCAGCCACCAAATTACGCCGGTGTGAGTCAATCAAGCGAGCAAACCAACCAACAATCAATCAATCGCCCTCACATTGAGTGCCGCAGTCACGCTTCTCGGCGCCAACGCACAACAAGTTCGCGCCCATTGAGGCAGGTCACCGCCTTTATGCTGTCGTAAGCAACACCTTCTGCGCGTTCCCCAGTCTCGCCTCATCTAGCGAAAAACCACTGGCTGGCACGTGATGCGGTCCCTGGAGATTCAGTCGCCGCAACAAACACCTTCATCATACGCATCTGGAAATTCCACAATCAAACAGCTTCTCTAAATTCCTAAATTCCTCGACGGAGCACTTGTACGTTTAAGGAGCACATCAATGCTTGCAGGCAGGGAGCCTGGCCACACGCAGATCCCATGACCGCGCACAAACAAGATGGCAGGAAGACCGTGAACCAACTTGCGGGCCATTGCAGGTTCCCCTTCCCTCCTGCATCTTGCGTGCGCTGCATGTATGCTCACTTGGATCCGTCTGTGACCCCAACGCCCCGACGATTTCCCGGCTGAGCAACCGGGCCTCCATCATGGCAAAAGAATAGGAACGCCAGGCGGTGAAGCCACCAGGCAAAGCAAACATGGAAACGCTGCGAGCAGCGTCCCAATCCAAAACCTTTCATGAACCTTCTAACGAGAACAGCAGCCAGTCCACAAATTGAAGCGAATCTACATTAGCAACATCAAAAGGCAAGGCTTGAACGCCCACTGCATCCTTCCGTCCACTGCATGCCCGCAAGAGCGGCAGCAAGCACGGCGTCCCGCTGTACGGACACACCTATCCCAAGCTACGAGTCGAACAGGGAAGCGGCCGTGAAGCAATGCACAGTCTCCGCCACACTGTGGCTCACTTCCACCAACACGGGGTCCAGCGCTGATGCAGTCCAATCGCGGCGCTCACAGGAACTTCAAAAGCCTGAGCTCATCTGAGGGGGCCCTCCAACCTCCGCTTGAAGCCAGGGGTGACTGAGAGCGTCCTCTGGTGAGGGCCTCTCCGACGGGTCCACCACCAACAAGAAGGACAGAAAGTCCAAGAACAGCTGGTCGTCTGTCTCCAGGCAGCTCCTGAGGTCCGTCTGAAGCGGCTGCAGCACTTCGTACTGCTGCGTTGAGGGGTTCTGGTGGTATATCCGCCCCGACCGCGTGTAGTAGTTGCTGCTGTACTTGCCCTCCGCCTGCATCAGGGCGGGCAGGGGGCCCAGCAGGCTCTCTATGCACGCCAGGACGCCACCGGCATAGTCGCTCTGGCAGGAACACGCAGAACTGCAGTGAGCACTCTCCGGGTCTCAGGAGCCGACGTCCCAGATGCAACAGAATGGCAATGGCGCAGCAGTGCAGGAACGGAGGCAGCAGGCCTATTGCAGGCTGTGTGGGGCATCGTATTTGCACACAACCATCTTCTCCATTACTGCCGACAAGTTGCGCTGCTGCAAGGACTGTTTCAGTCACACTCTTGGTGGCTGCCACTCGTGCCCACTGCATTTGTTCCCACTGGTGTTGATGGTGCCTTGCACAGCAGTGCACAGTGAAAAGGGCCGAAACGTTGCATGCAGGCACACATGAGAGGGTTTGGGGTGGGGGGGTGGGGGGGTGAAGGAGAGATGCAACATTGTATTATCTGTTGTTTGGCATGCAATACAAAGTCTAGCACACTGAGAGCGTGGAAGAATACGCTGTTTTCAAGGCTACTCCAGCCAAGCCAGTAAATCAGAAAAAATATGATGCAGGTGTGATGGCGCACCACGAGATACAACAGTGCCGCAAGGACACAGTAGTTAGGGAACCATCACATGGTGCAAGCTACTGACAGCATATTTCATCCATTCTCTTGGTTGGCATGAACACAATAGCCACAGCCCAGAAAGCCACGCAAACAATTCTAAATCTGTGCCATGCTTGAAGGTGGTCAGAAGTAGTGGAATGGTCATAGGGTGTTGGGGGTGTCCACTTCATTTCTTCACACAGCAAATTGGCACAGAGGGCCACAACACTGTTGGGTTTTGGCAAGGTGGGCAAAGGCTAAATTAGTCTCTTTCTACGCACAGACAGCTGCCATGTTCCCTTGCCGATTAGAATGTGCCCCAAATCCACCGAATCGAAGAGAAAACGACTACCACGCTTCATGGCAAGACAGATGGGCGACCACAGTGGTATACAGGGGACTGTGATAGGGAGCAGCATACAAACAGGTTGACAGAAAACGCCTGTGCATGTGAACAGTGACTGCCATCTGGCACGTGACGAGGCAGTACTGGGCCACGCGCTGGCAGTTTTGAAGCATCAAATTCAATGGGACTAACTGATTATACCACCAGCAGGTCCACACCACTGGACAACCGTACCAAATGGATACTCTGTAGAATCTGTTTTGGACAGACGCTAAGCTAAGCACGGTTTGCATTGATGTCTCATCAGCGGATTGAACAGAACACTTTGTGCGCATAGCCTTGCCAGCAAGATGGTCTGAACATGTGCAAACCTGAAATAGGGCATAGCCCGTTGCCATCTCGGCCACGATGCAGCCGATTGACCAGACATCGATCTTCTCGCAGTACGGCAGCCCAAGGATGACCTCTGGCGCACGGTACGCTCGGGATTGAATGTACGATCCAAGGTGGTCGGTGGTGAAGCAGGAAGAGCCCAGGTCGATTATCTGGCAGCACAGTCCTGCCCTTAGCCATCAGAGCCAGGCTTCTGCTGTGTTGCGTGCAACAATGACAGGCGAAACAGCTCCATCAAAGGCAGGGTCACACAACCAACAGCCTGTCATGCACACATCAATACCAGTGTCTGCACTGCATGCTGCACCATGTGCGCACTGCGCTGATGTAGCTGGATAGGTGTTTTGCGCAATTGAGCAACTAGACTCCTTCCAGCTACACCCTTTGGATTCTGCCTTCAACTGTTGCTGCATCACATCGGATAAAGCAGATTGGCCCAGTGTTGAGTTCCTCTTCCAATGGCCCCGGCATCATGTGCACCTGGTGGGTGTTGTGCATACTTCCACTAACATTCTGCCCGTCTCAGCCTGGACATGCCACAAGCATCAAACTGGGATGCCAAGGGACACCATGCAGTCTTGATGTCCTGCTCGCGATGTGTTGGCCAGCTTCACAAACCCAACATCCCCACATCTTCCACAACTGGGCAACTTTTGCTCGATGGAGATGTTGTGCATTGAGCCCAGTGGGCCACCTGAATGAATTGGGAGAACTGCTGTGCCCTTACACTGCAAATGTTGGCCCCTGCTGGCCACAATTCTGCACTACCGAAGCTTGTCAAACTTGAGAAATCAGTACTGTGTTGCCCAGTGGGTGATATTGGGCAAGGGTGGTTGGGCTGAGCTGAAGTGAAGCGATATTCTCTGTACTCCGTGTGGACTGACGCATACCCAAACCATTTGTTGCATTGTTTGCTTGTCAGTATATTCAAACAAACAGTCGTGCGCAGGCACACTCAACTTGGTGTTGCATGCCATACTTGGTATTTTCACAAATGCCAATCTTGCCGCCTGCAATTCAATCGAAAAGTGTAGCATGGGCAATTCCAATAAATGGGGAACAGGAATCAAAGCTGTTGGTCCAACAGAATGCATCAACTTTTCAGGATTCAAAACCAAATGCTCAGGTTGTGAATTCCTATCACACCAAACAAGGGAGAATGGCATCGTTGTGACCTGTGCAACCAAGTACAATTCAAGAAAACAGCTTACGCGTGTAGGCACTGTGGCACTCTCCTTGCCTGCCACAACCTGGTGTGCTATCAGTGCTTGTGCTCCTAGCTGAAAGGTCAAGATCTTTAATGGTCTGGGTTGCAATTTTCAGAGCACACAAACTGCTACAGAACATACAACTTTCGGCAATGAGCTCAAGGCAACAATTGGAGTCCTCTACTCACCTTGACACGACAGGGCTCCAACATCTGCATGAGGACATTTTCAGGCTTGAGGTCTGCATGGATGATGTTCAGTGAGTGCAAGAAGGCAGTTGCACGCAAAATCTGGCGGGCGATAGACTGGATGTTCTGCAGTGTGAAGTATGTGGGCAAACCATCGCGGATGCTCCTCCGATGCATGGCGTACAGATTGTTGTTCAGCAGCTCAAAAACGATTATGAGGTGTTCCTGTAAAGCATGGGAAGAAATTTGAAAATGTCAGTCAATTTATGCGTGGCAAGTGTCCTTCAAATCAGCTGCTTGCAAGGGCCAATAGAATGCTATTCTGCTGAAAGAACCAGTGAATGCACAATGCACAACATCACATGTTGCAAATGGAGTACAGCTTCAATCCCCAATATTCTTTTGTGAAAAAGTGATGGACTGGCCTTGCACCTGGAAGAAGGCATGAGACAGTTGTTCAGCAGCCTCAGCACAATGACAAGGTGCATTCAAAGTGCCAAGAAGAACCTTCCAGCTGGAAATGTATCAGCTGAAGTGCGTTTAGGACAGACCAAACAACTCCAAGAAAGGACTAATATGAACAAAACAATTGGGAGCTCAGTGAGCAAAACAGCCAGGGCAGCAGCCTGAGGTGCTTCACGAAATGCCAACAAACGGAATCGAATGGCTTACGCACTTTGTAGTAGAAGAAATCGTACATGCGGACAATGCCCGCCTCATCGTTTGGATCGTGGGTATTGATCATTCGAAGCAACTTTATCTCATCAAGGCTCTGATCAAAATAATCCTTGTTATTCTGTGCACACACCACAACAGCCAATGTAGCCAAAATACTGTCAATCAACCCCTGCATACAGCTGAATGGAAAGCCACAAGATTCACTCACAAAACTTCCCATATCCAGCTGTGCTATTTCCAAAAGGTAGGAGATCAGCAGAAGAGCAAATCGTGCACCAGCTGTGTTCTAACTCTGGCAGCACTCAGGTTGTTCAAGAGCCCTCCTGGACCAAGTGGGAAGTTTGGTGCAAAAGTTCACCACACATGCTCAAGGACCAAGGGTAGAGGGAGGCCACAATGTATCAAGTCAAAGAAGCAAGCAGGCCAAAGACCCTCAGTGGCAGAGTGTCACCACTTAGAGGCAACCCCACCACAGTGCCAACTGTGTTTGGACTTCTGTGCTACTTTTTGGGTGTTTCAGGGTATGGGCAGGTCTGCCAACGAATTCCTTTGCATTGCATTCGCTGGCAATGAGCAAAACAGTGCCCATGCAACTTGAAGGCCATGTCATGCAACAAACAGCACAACTGGCACTTCCCATCTGACAAGGTTGTGGCTTTCCAATTGCTCGCAATGGTGTAGGCACTGAATCAGTGACCTAAAGAGCAAAATATAATCCAATACCAGGTTTGTCTCTCCTACTGTGCTGGAGCAAATGGGCAAAGTCCCACTGAGGAGGTGCCACCAACAGCATTTTTTTGTAATTCAATACAGATTCTGATCCAACACAACGAGCGGGGAGAAGCTTGCAGCATCACTGCATCCCCACCATACAGGCTTTGAATCACACATGGACTGCTGCCATGCATCAGTCAATTAAAACCATGCAACTAAACAGCACCTTGATGATCTTCAGACACACATAATTGCCAGACTTCAGGTCTTCTGCTGACACTGCGTAGCTGAAGGCCGCTGTGTCAAGTTCGTTGATGACACGATAGCGACCTGCCACTATGTCACCTCTCCTCACCTGCAAGAACCATACCCCAAATAAGGCCCCGCACTGCCCAGCTCCAAGCTGAGCACCACAACAAATTTGTCATTTACATGTTATATTTGTCATTAATATTATATTTGTCGTTTAAATGTCACATTTGACATTCAAATGTTGCATGGTAGATGTGGGGGCCACGAGCTATCGTTGGTTGGACTGTCGAGTCTTGCCCAAAGGTTCCAGGTTTGAGCCATGCTGATGGTAGTCTCCTTGACTCGTCATTTCAGTGGGCATCCATGGGACGACCCACAAGATCCACTGAAAAGGTGCCGATCTGGGTTGAAGAGGTGTAGCCATAAACAAACAGGAAATGCCATCGAGATGTTGGTCATGAGTATCAGATCGTAGATGTGCACATTGATGACGACTACAAGAGGCTGATGACAGTTCTCGCTGGATACCCATTGGCAATAGACGTTGTTTTGGCCAACCTCCGGCATCAGCCTCCAAACCAGATTCTGGCAAGGCTGGGCGCAGCAGACGTGCGACTGGATGTGCCTTCCCATGACAAGACCCGCAACATCTTCAGCTGTTCGGAATACTCATGCAGGATGATTTGTCCTGGAACACAGCAGCTGTTGGTGTGCCTGGTGCCCTTCAAGGGCGTCTTGATCTGGGAAACATTGCACTGCCATGTTGGCGGCTTGGGGAAATTGCAACCTGGAGTTGGGCTGAGCTCACAGCCATCGAGGATGCTGTGAAGGGCACCATGCAGGATGTCATTGGGTGGGGTTTGCTTTTGCCATTTACCCTACAACCCACCCACTGTGACAAGCCTGTGATGAATGTGACAATGGGCGGCTGAATTGGATGATGCCCATCGCAGAGCAAAGCACACATGCTTCAAAACTGCATGCAAGGATGTGGCAAAGTTGCGTGGGAAGCAGATGGACTCTCAAGATGGTTTGGAGAGGAAAAGTGGGGTGCAGTTGTGTGTATTCGAGTTCAAAAACCTGTACTATGCACTGAACCTGTGCATCAAAGATTACAAGCAGGATCCCACATAGTGTGAAAATAATCGCCAAGAGCCAGGCCCTGATGAAATCAGTAAAGGGGAGAAAAAAATGGACACAATTAATAGAATGGCAACCCGAGGGGGAATCATCATTGGTCAGAAGAGCCCTCGAGCAGGCGCTCAGTAGCAAGTGCTCTCAAGTTGTGCCCCTGCCTGGGGCTCCTCGCCCCTTGCCTGGCCCCAACCAATGAGTCTTGCCCAAAGGTCAGCAGCAATGTCAGGTGAGGCAAGAACCAGAATCCGGGTCGAATATTGGGGCTGCTGCTTGGAGGCAGGTCCCAACACAGTTGACAGGGCTACTCAGCCATCAAGTGAGATGCCATTAAGGACGCGAGGTGCTGCACACTTCAATGGAGGCACAGAACAAAGGGAAGAATGGAGGGTGACCCTCTGGGTAGTAGAAGCAACTGCTGAGAACGGTGCGGTGACTGGATTGCAAACAAGCCAAGGGGCTAGAAAGGTGAAACTGACAAGTGAAGTACAAGGGACATGGGATCCTGGGAGGGACGTTATATCTTGGTGGACATAGTCCTTGGTGGTTGGCACCCACTCCCAGCCAAAGGGCGTGATCATATACTTCTTCCGTCCCAGATTAATTGTCGTCTGCTTGAAAGGCTAAATTTGTTGTAAGGACAGCCTCAGAATTTCAAAACAAGGTCAAAATCGAAAAGATTGCATCTCAAAACCCTTGACTATCAATTGTCAAGAAGGTAAAGTGAGACATGACCCTTTTGAGCGCAAGGAGAAGGTAAATTATGGCCATTTTCGACCCCAAATATTGAGATTTACTATGTAAAAAGATCCTTAATACAAAGTACTGCCAAATACTCAATACTTAATGGATTGACTTGAAATTTTTATGGTGTACTCCCAACTCAAAAGGACAACTGCAGGCGAAATTTCATTAAAAATAGGTGCGAGCATGATGGAGAAATAATGACCCCAAATCACAGACGACAATTAATCTGGGATGGAGGAAGTATTTCCATCCATATGTTCAAATAGCAGATGTCAAATTGCTAAGAGCAGACAACTGCACACACATGGTGAGCCTTGGCCCCACAATGGCAGTAACATTTGGACATGGGCATTATCAGTTGTTTTAGCCTGGCCCAGGGACAGCACATTAAACTGTCGATCAACACCAATTTAATGAACAACAACAACTGCACTCGCACCCATGTTCCTCTGTGTTGTTTGATTCAGCAGAAATAAGTCATGCTATTTGCAGCACAGCCAGGCCCTTGTCAGTAATGAGGCTCATTCAACACAAACCATGCTGCATGGGTTCACAGAATCCAGCAGTCCAGCCCCACTGACATGGGCAGCAGCACCCTATGTTTTCTGCTTTTCGGTTTCCAAATATTGCATCACATAAAGCGGCATGTGCGCCAAAAAAATGCCAAGCAATATTCTAGTAAAACAGGGGGATTTTGCCAGAAGAATCCCTTGTGGGGCCAACGCAGGACAACCTGCTACATTGTTTGTTGATGAACAACATACCCTGGGCAAAAAAGTCTTGCTGATCATGGTCCCACAAAGCTTCCTCAAAAAGTTCAAGATCCAAAAGCAGAAGCCTATGTATTTTGATGCACTCTGCAAGAACACTTCAGTGATTTGCACAAAACAGAAGCAATCGGCCGGTATTTCAATCCTGTACACTTGCTGCCAAATGAGGAACAGCGCCCAAGAGCTTGTACCAAGGGCCAGGGACTGGCAGCAGCAATCGGCCGGTATTTCAATCCCGTACACTTGCTGCCAAATGTGGAACAGTGCCCAAGAGTGTACAAAGGACCAGGGAGTGGCAGGAAGCTGAACGTGTGACATGTGATACTCTGCAATGTCATGGTCTGAACAGGCCTGTGCTTGCTGGTGCACTCTGCAGTTGCTGTAGTGATGTATTGTGCTTGCATCGGAGTTGCACATCCCATGTGTAGTTCATTTCAAAGAAATTAATCCCAGGTGTTGCTTGTGTGGACAAAAGATCCAGCCATAACAGAGAGGATAACAAAGATGATCTGTTCTATATTGAACTGAATACTGAACTTGCCTTGAATAATATTTTGCTTTGAATGAAACGGATATGCATCAACCAACAACAGTATGTCTCCTATGTTCTGGGAGACTCATTCTGTACAAAGGGATATGATGCATATGTAGTTGAGTGCAGCAACAACCGTGCGCCACAAATGCCATCATTGAAATGCCTGTCACTGAAAAGTCTGACCTGCAGATTTTTGGACATTTCGAAGCCTGTGGCACCCTTTTTGTGGTACACTTTCAGGTTGATGACCTCCCATGAGTCATCCACAACATTCCCTCTGCCGAATTGCTGCGCAGTCTCGGGGTAGTTTCCCGGTGAGTACTCCATCTCTGAGGGTTCGCGAACTGATTCATGAGCACCTGCAACAATGAAACGCAGGAAATGGCCTAAGTAATGACAATGATTGACACCGCAAACACCAAACACTCCTCTCCTGTTCCATGGAAGTCAGCTGCTTCACAGCAACTCCATGATTCAGGCCTATCGCTAACTACACAATAGGAAACAGTTGAGCAAAAAGACTACTTTCTGCTTCAATTTGCCAGTCTTCCACATGCCAGTCTTCTATATTCCGCTTAACAGGGTTACAGCACATGTCAGTCCCTGCGCTCTATAGCTACTCTCAGCTATGTGCAGTGGACCCATTGTGGAATTTGGCATTCATGTTTAGACAATCTGCACACATCAGCTATGCCCAGAATAGGGCCGTGGGTTCAAGGGCTGTATTCGTTTTCATCTGGAACAAATGCAATCAAGCGACTTGAACTTTGAAATCTCTGAACATCGGCACTGTTGCACACAGCACAAGGACTGCCATACTAGCTGACTTGCCCCACCACAAATGGTGTCTCGGATTGCCCCGCTCACAGACTTCACAAAACCTTGCTTCACCTTCATGTTCGCATCAAGGTAGCACTATGAACCAGAAGGCCAATGTAGAAACACTAAATAGCCCTATTTAGAAAGTAGAAACATACATTCTGCTACCTGCAATACCATAAATTTCATTTCAGCCATTCTAAAGAATACCGGAAAATATTCAACCCTTCCCCATAGTAACTTAACGCTTGGCCTTCTTTTGTGGAGAAAAAATAATATATATTAACGCAACGCTTGACATTTTTGGTGCAGAGCAACATAAAAAGAAACAATACTCTGAAAACAAAAATGCGGAGCAAAAAGCATAACAGTAAATTTTCTTATGCGGGAGGGCTGAATATTTTACAGTACACTGCCCCTAAGGAGAAGCATGCCACCCCACCTGCTTCATCTGTTCGAGCAACTTCTGCAGAGGGCCTGTGACCATTTTGGCCCTCAGCCCCATCAGGAGAGTTCCATCCTGATGCCTGTGTGTGACTGTCTATTGACAGGAACGGGGAGAAATGGCCATCCTCAATGGTAAGTGAATTGAAGGGAATTGAGGCCTGGGTGTCCACAGAGACGAACGAGACGATCTCCTCAGACTGCGGCGTCACAGGAAATGAGAATCCAGCGCTGCCCATCCTGAAAATAAAATAAGAGCAGTCGATTGTCAGTGGCAAGGCGGTTGCCTGGAACCCGCTGGCTGCAACTTTTCAGGAGCACATGACAATATTTGCCAAAGGGGGCGATGCGAAAGTGGGACAAACAAAAGACACTGGTGATTGTTCTTTAACACAGCTGAGCGTAATGTCTTTTGAGATTCTTACACATGTTGCAGCAGCAAAGCACAGGCCAACGAAAATGGCAACAGAAATAGCACCCAACACATAGCTGCACATACAGCATGGAGATGTTCATAGGGGGCCCAATACAACCTATTGGGCAACGGATTGGGCAACGTGTGGCTATAGGTTGGTGTGGGGAAGCATCCATTTTGTGCTGCAGTGAAGTCATGGTCTGTTTAGTGAGGGGTGTACCCAAGTCCCCAGCCCAAACCACTGGAGAGCCTGTAGTTTCAGCAAGGAGACTGCAGCGTTAACATATATTTGTGTGGGAGTTCTTGGCATTGCGGTTGTGGTCCTAGCAGATGAAGTTTTCAACAATCAGCAGCCTGTCAGTCACAGTCATGGCGTTTACGCTGGTTAACAGGTCCATTGTGCAGAGGCACTGCAATAAGACCATAAAGTTATTCCAGCTGTCTTATGCATGCTGACTTAAACAATAAGAGACACTTGAGTTGGCTGAGCTGTGCCAACAAGCTAGGAGATTTACACCCTGAGCTAGCTTGGGCTTTTCTCTTTTGATGCATTCGTTTTATAGCATAGCAGCAACGGGAAAGATGAACGCCACAGCATGTGGCAAACAACCAATAAAGTCACAAACCCAAAAAAGGATTACTTCGTCTTTGTTCCACAAACAACCCACCGGAATCCCAACCAATGGATCAGGGCTGAACAATACAGAAACCACCACCAAAGGACACCCACAGCCACAACCAAGCGAACAGGAGGTCAGGAGTCTACCATGGCATTCCATCAGGGAGCTGGTAATCACTTGAAATCGTGTTATGGGGACTCTCACAGAGTGAATAGCATCAGAGCGTCACAGAGACCTATCCTGGCAAGGTTGGGGATTTGGGTTTGTCCAAGACTGGGGTTGGGCTGCAAGGCACAAACTCTTGAGCCCAATGGACCTGTCAATGTCTGGCAGGAGGTTCACCAAATTCTGACCACAATAGCATATGTAAAACATGTGCTTACACATGCAGCGGGGACCCCGAAACAGCTCGTTGGTCCATTGGGGCCATGGGTTATTGATGTCTCTTTTCTTGCTTCTTTGCATTGTCCGCTTACTTCACATGGGTTTTCAAGCTGTTGGCTTATTTGCTACTGCCATTCTCAAGTCTCCAGGCCAGGCCATGCTTTCCAGGTAGGCTAATGTATTCCATGCTGGCAAACTGTTTTCATCGAATTCATATCACATCCATCGTTTCCTGAATAGTATCATCATTCCCTTTGCTGATGCATCAGCCTCCTATGCTGCCGAGATGAACATACAATGACAAGTTGTTGTACTTTCGGCTGGATGCCCCTAGAGTGTATGTTCGTTTCCTTAATGCATACTTCCTGCCCTTGGCTTTGCCAGCTGTGGCTCCTGCTCTGCTGCAAAGCGGAACGGGCTCCAAAGCATTTTCAAAATGCGACCTATGTGGCACATTGCTAAATGCAGTGCAATGCCCACACAGTGGACCTAGCTTACTACATATTAACAAAAACTGCTTTGGTCACTGAGAAGTCTGCCACATGTGCCTGATCTGCCCACGATGTACCTTGCTACTCCTCAATGCTATAAGAGTGCATGTTTGCAGACAAATCAGTACCCACAAAGGGCAACGGTCAGGTATCCTGTCACACACCCGCCACAGTCTGTGCTCTTGCTAGCTGCCACCAGTGCCCCAGCATCCTCACGCTCGTCAAGCACCATAAACGGTGATGGATGCTTTTTGGAAGTGTCGATCACAAGGTGGGAAGGCTTCTTGGGATCTGCTGGCCCTTCCTTTCCCATCGCCACCTGAGCTGCTGTATCAGCCACTTCCTGAGACTGCACCATGAACAGCCAAAGAGGTAAGCAGCTCCAAACACCTGCCTTTACCGATTCCTGAACAAGCCAATCAGCGATTGTTCAACAGGCTAATCGTGTTGCTGCAATGCTGTGCAATGATGGCAAGCAATTGGGCCCCATCCATTCCCAAATGGCATTCGGAGCGGTTGAATGCACCCAAAACACATCTTTGCTGCAGTTCAAAGGGCCAACCGTTTGCATGCTTGCTTGAATCAACAATCAACTACTCCATGCAGAGATTTCTGCACCTGTTCCTTCCTATCCATGCAGGAAAGTAAACACGTGCACTTTAAGCAGAAGAGTCCTTGCTCAAAGCAGCCTGCCAGGCTCTCTTGGCCTCAACATCGCCGATCCAACAGCAATAGGGCCCTACAGATATGGTCTGGAACATCGCAGCCTGCCAGAAGCTGTCCAAGAACAATATCCCCATTTCGGGGGCAGCACCCTTTAGGGGCTTCTATGCTCACGCATATAACCCTGCTTGAAGAACCCTTGTTCCAAAAAGGGCCCTAAATGTGCTGAAGCGCTGTGCTGCTTGTGGTGCTGGTGCTGTAGTATGATGTACTTCACTGTTGCACTGTGGAGTGCAACGGTGGATTCTCAGCGATTGATCCAAGCATTCACAAAGAGCCTGTGGCTGCTGGGTGCAACAAGGGACTGTTGGCATCTCACCTGGTCTGTGGGAGTTATGAAGCATCAAAAAGAGCAAGCGGGCCAGATGTGCCAATACGCAAAATTTTTTGTTTCATGCATTGTACTTTCAATAATGTCATGCTTGACTTCACTCTATGCTCTTTCATGTAATTGTGAGGAATATTGGTTCAGTTGCAAACTACATAGATTGTAGCAATTTGACAAACTCACAACATTCTTGCCTCCTATGTCCGGCCCAGCCAGGCACTGCTTACCGAGCCGCAAGGAAAGCTATCGGTAGACCAGGAGTTCAGCTGGACAAATCGACAAAACAAGCAGTTGGCAATTGTCTTGGGATAATAAGGCATGATCCCTATTGGTGATGGCACTTAATGACGGACTCTAAGCCCCACAGCTCAATTGGCATTGGGTCCCAACTCAAACATGGATACCTGACAGGTGGACACATGGAGTGCAGAGGAATGTGCAATGGACTGAAGCCCTCAGTTCGATCCCACTTTCAGTAAACCATGCACCACACATCACAAGTAAAATGTGCACTACCAGTGCATTATCCAGCACACACGCTCCCATCTATCACCTGACGTGTTGTGACCATTCATGTGCTCCTTCATTGCGTGCGTGACATGCCTTGCGTTCTGCACAGCCGCCCAGTGACACACACAGCAGTACAAGAATTGCATCCTACCCTGCAAGTTTCCCCACAGAATCAATGAAATTTCACCCCAAAATGCCCTTACCATGCCCAGAGAGTCAACCCTCAGCATATGGTCCTCAGCGCCAGTGGCACCCTCCACAGGGCCACTGAATGCAGTTCCCTGCACGACACCAGTGCAGCTTGTGCTTGGGCTCGTGGACTCTGACCAGTTGTGGTCAAAAAAGCCGCCAGACTGTGGTGCACAAAATCAGCTTTAACAAATGATCCCAGGTACCATTGGCCCAGTAATGATGGCGTGATTGGCGTGATGGCGTGACTGGTCCTATACAGTCAGTGACACAGTCTTGCAACATCCTAAACCGTGTCCAGGCACATGCATGTATTCTTGGAAGGATATTCACTGCTGTACGGTACTTTATTTCATTGTAGTTTCACAGTCCATTATCATTTGCGAGGCTTTAGAACCTGAGGCATCCCAAGCTCAACACAGGACCTATCTGAGTGTTAGGCACAAAATAGCACTGAGATATGACACTGAGATATGATGCTTTCCCCAGGAAAGTTTTCCAAAAACTGCTTTGTCAAAAAGCAACAAGCCGCTGCCCCTTGCTGCATCACTGCATTGACACAGTTCCACACAAGCTGCCTTTTGAAGAACGCCAGGGTAGTGCTGCAAGTGGATAAACTCACTGGAGAGGTGCTCCTGGGGCGGAATGGCCCATTCAGCTCACAGCTCACAAAGGTGGCTTCATCATGAATGGGCTGAACACGAAAGCTTGGGCGATGTGGACGGCAGGGTGAGCCTGGTTCTGTCGAACTTCGTTTGCGCACTTCATGCAGACATGCATACACACAATGATCAGGATTGTTGTACAAGCAGCAACTCCTGTGGCACTACAAAGCCCATAAGTGCCCAACGTATCTAACTCAATGCCCAAACTGCTTTGCCCCTTCCTCAGGCATCCAGGAGAACAAGTGCAACACACAGCATTATCAGGGCAATAATTGTGCCAATGACTAAAGCATGCACATGCAGATGTATTGAAGCACAGTCAGATGCGGCCGTGCTGAGCATCAATCCCAAGCCTCTTGCCTACATCAACTGAAACCAGTCCAAACAGGGCAGGTTGTTTAATCGGTAAGTGCATTGAAACACCCCACTTTTCCACTCCAACCGAAATCGTGGAACTCACAAAGTGTGGGGATGCGCTTCCTTCGCCGCCTTTCAAAGGTGCTGACAAGAAGGGCACAAGTGGTAGAGTCAGGCAGAGAGCCACACCAAATACCAGACAGGTACTTCCACAACAAGTTCACTTCAAAAACTGACACAAGCAGTGCTGTTCCTCTTGGTCTGAAGGAAATCCTGCCAGGAACCTCTGGAGCTCAATGGCTTCCACAACAATTCAAGGCAAATTTGAGTTTGCAGTTTGCTTTTGCAATGACTTTCAGTGCCTGCACTTTCGTGCCACATGCCCAGTAAAAAGACTGTATGGCCAACGACTTAGGTGATGCAAACAGAAAGGCTCCAATCTGGCAGTCACAAACATACATTCAAGCCATGTTTAGAATCTGTTGGTTTTCATCCCATCGCCACACAGAGAGCAGCCATAGAATGCCGCCTGTTGCTGAAAAGCTCGACCTGCTTCGCCTCAGTACCTATCTGTAAGCATCTCTAGCCGATGTGCACAATATTTTGTGTCTCAGCAAACGCACCAGCCTACGACTCTGCCAACAGGTGTCGGTACAAATTCATCCATTCCAAGGTCACTCACAACATGCTTGCCTGTGGATAGTGCACAGTTGATCAATGGCAAGGACCATCCCCAGGCCCATTCTCTATGTCCATGTGTTTCCCACATTCTATGTCCGCATCCACACCAAATTGTTTGGTATTTTATTTCTCCTTGTTCTGCATTCTAACAGGCCACCAATCTATCAGATCCACAACCATAGCCCAATCCACACAGCCAAAAATATGGCTACAAAAGGAGTTTCCCCCTGTCACTTGGGGGTTGCACAGTCTCTCCAGCTGCAAATACCGCCCCAAGAATCCAACAGACCACCCCAACAGCCAGCGCCAATGCACTGGGTCTGGTAACCAAACGTGTGCCCCCATCTCCAGTCATGAGCACCAAATTGTGCACCTTCTCAGGTACAGATGCTCCAGCCATCTTCTGGATCGAAGGTGCAACCCCAAGGTCACGTGGGCAGTCAACCTGGCTCTCCTCCACAGATAGGCAGCGATCTGGCGCCTCGAGCCTGCCAAGTACGCTTTGCCGGCATCGCCAAAACCCACGCGCTCGGCTGAATCCCACCCTCCCTCCGCTACCATTCCTCTAGGTTTCCTTCCAGATCAAATGTGACACAGCACCCGCTGGATCCATCGCCGCGCCCAAAGGCGAATATCCGAGCCCGGCAACCAACCCACGCATCCCTGCCCCGCGCACCGGCGCCTCCCATGACACCACCTGCTCGCGAAATAGACAAAAAACAAATCCCAGAATAATAATTCCAAGCATTCGATCCCACGCACGTCGAAGAACATCCAGCACCACCACCGCCCAGCCCAAACCCCGTTCTCGGCGCGCCCCGCTCCGCGCCTCATCGCCCGCCCCCTCGCCCCGCCGACCGCCGCCCCCCCTTCCCCCAAACGCATTCGTTGTGCGCCTTCCTCGTCGCACCTCAGGTAATACGCTGATACTGCGCCCTACATCATCTCCTCAGACCATGGACAACAGTCCCATGCACAGCTGCCTGAGAAGGGCTGCCCTTTGCACGACCCGTTTCCCTGCCTCTTGTTTTCCCTTCGCAACAAATGCCCCTTCCAACGATCCTCCCACCCCGGCCTTCTCCCTGCGCTGTTTCCCTTGCCCTGTGTCCCAAAAATTTGTCTCCAATCCCAACCCCCGGATCCACCCCCCCAAGCCCTGTTGTGTGCCCATCACCTCGTACCGAACTGTCCAAATCATCCTCTAACGGCATGGACAAGAATCTTGCACCAACCTGCTTAGCAAGGAGCGCTCTTTGTGTGTCCACTGCCTCTCTTCCTCTTCGTTGCGAGCAAGCGAACCGAGCGTCGCTCTACAAAATATCTCACCCCACCCACACGAGAAGGGTGTCACGCGCATTTGCCCTGGAGGGGATGCTTGCTGTACGCCCATTGTTTCCCTTTCCCTTTGCAACAAATCTCACCCCACCCCACCCACCCACCTTCTTGCGTCGCGTGCTCATCATTTCCCATCGGACAGACTCTGCATCATCTCTCCACAGAGCGGAAAAGAGTCCCGCAGACACCCGCCCTGGAGGGGGTGCACTTCACATGACCGGTTTCCTTCCCTCTTTGGCAACAATTCGTACCCACACACCCACCTTGAGGTCCTCCTCCCTGCGTGCCCCGCCTCCGCCGACGTGTTCGCGGCCCTCTCCCACTCCGCCTTGCCCGCATCCCCGCGATGCGCCCCGCTCCCTTGGGCTCCCGATCCCCCCTCCTCCCCGCCCGACGTCCGCGTCCACAGCCCGCCGAACACCGCCGGCATGCCGCCCTGTTCTCCCAGCCCCGGGAAGGCACCCTGATCCGCGATCGGCGGCCCGCGCTGGGGGGAGAGGTCCAGATCGGGGCCGGGGGGTTCGGCCGATCGGCTGGTGCCGCCCGGGCTGCGGCCGTCGCCACGGCTGGAGCGAGACATCGGATGATGCGATTCTCACGGGCTCGGGCGGGCGGGATTTGGAGGAAGACGAAACAAGGAAGGGGGGGCAAAGTGGCGACGGAAGTGGAGGTGAGGAAGGCTCTTCGGCGGGCGGGACCCGCGCGCAGCGCTGTGTGCCAATCGCGGTGCAGAGCAAGGGCGGCAAAGGTAGCGGGGATGATACGTTTGTCACACGTGTGGGGATGGGAGGGGGTAGGGCAACGAGGGTGTCTGACCGGGGATCGAACCGGGTACCACTGGGGAAATGTCACACTGCTCTCCCAAACCACATGGACCAGGGGCAGGAAGAGGGTAGTCCTTGGTACCCTTCCACCCAGCCGTTGGGGGGTGGGGGGCGGCGAGTTGTGCTGAGGGTGGACCCCTTTTGGGCACCTATGCGTGAGGCCCCTTTCCGTGCTGTGAAACGAGCTCGAGCGCACACGTGTGAGAATTCTCCCAAATGGCTCATCTTTGTTGTGCTGCAAACGGTGATGTGGGGCGTCCGATGGAAGAAGAGGGCCAGGCAGCGCAGCGCCGCAGAGGATAGGGAGCATATGTCCAGGGGGACCCCCTGCCATAAAATTTTCAACCCTTCCGCATCAGGAGATTGTGCAATTGCGCTTTTTGTTCCGCACTTTTACTTTCGGAGCGTCACTTTACTTTTATTATGTTGCTCTGCAGAAAAAGGCCAATCGTTGTGTTACTGTGCGGAAGGGCTGAATAAAATACGGCCAGTCGTTGCGTTACTATGCGGAAGGGTTTAACAAAATACGGTAGTTGCATCGGCTCCCTCGTTGCTCTACCTACTGGAATACATTGGTCCAGCGGCATGACATTCAGTCGTCGCTTGACAATATTGCACAACGACAACGCCCAACTGGGCACATAGTTCCGCACATACGCTAGAAAATGCTTTTTGCCTTGATGTTTAATGTTCCTCAAGCGGCAAAAGTGGTAGTTGCCACCACAAGCAATAAGTGCTCGCGAATTGTTTGGGCTCCCGCTAGCTCTCTCTAGCTCACCAGCAGGCTTGCCGAATGTGCGAAATCCGGAGTTATAGGATGTCTTGATATCTGATGTAAGAGATGAGAATAGAACATGCAACACCCTGACAACGTGAACGCCGGAACGATGAAAAACTGGACAGGTTTTGGCCTTTTTTCTCTCAGTATGGCATTTGTGTCCAACCCATTATTGGAAATGCCAGGAAAACTGGCTAAAGTAGACCACAAATGGGGGGATTTTTTCCGCCAAAATGCATTTAGAGCTGCTCCATTTGCACCATGTGTGGAAGAGACTCGCTTCAACTAGGGCGAAAAAGCATTCTGGAATAGGGGCAATTTCCCAAAGTGAGCTCATGGAGTTTAGAATTGTCGGTGTCGCTGAGGTGCACACTCGTTTTGCTCGACAATAGTTCATTGCAATTTGAGTTGCAACACAAATGCCAGAAGATGTAGGTCGACGATTTGAGAAATTCCGCAAGTGAATCTCAACCCCAATCTCCAGAATGAGAATTTAACTTTCGAAAGTCGCTGATCCACGCTTGTGAGTTCCGATGAGCCAATGCATCTGTATTGTACCCAGTATGATGCCAGGCACAAGCATGGTGCAAATCGCGTTGCAAAAATGTTTGAGCAACGCTGCGCCATCACGTGCTTTGCACAATTGCTCAATGGATACATATCTTCCATTTCGCCTGTGCGCATGTCTACATGCCTTCCCGAGCGACTTGCATGTCCCAATAGTTGTGCCCAAGTAGAGCACAATTCGGATAAAAGCGTCCAGCGAAATTCGCAAAGCGATAATGGCCTCGTTCGGACATTGCTGTGTCCAGCAGAGTTTGATGAGAAAACACCAATTGCAATGGGTAATCGCGGGGAACGACCTCAAACTCGCACATCCACCCACTGAAAGGAGCATAAAATTTTCAGCTTTATCTCTGCTGAAACTTATGCGTTGTTTAAACAACAAATGTAAATGAAAAAATACAGCGGGCGGTATACGATGCTCACCAACCCCGAAGTTCGGGGTGGCGAGGATCACCGATGTACGATATACGATACTAACATGCGATAGTGCAATGCCAATTCGTGACTTTCGGCAGTTTAACACTCAATAACCGTAAAAAATCCCTTGGGCAAATTGGCGAAAAATGAGTACTACGAAAGTGTTATTTCCTGCACCACTTTTCTGTGACAGCGTCGCGGAACCCAATTTCAGTGTCGTGGACAGTGCTGGGACACTGCGCCCAGCGCTGGGGACAGCGCCATGCCACGCGAGTGTCGTAGACCGTGACGGACCCGTCAATATCCACGACACCACAAATACCGTCCACGTAAATGTCGCAGATAGGGGTAAAAATGACGTGGATAGTGTCCCATGGGTGCACAAACCCGGGTGTCCACGACACTGAATTCAGCGTCCGCGACGTTTCCGAAAAACGCGATATTCTGCTAGAATTTTGCATGCGGCCCAGGTGCCCATTGCCAGGACAAGTAGGGAAGTGTTTCAAACCAGTCAAATGGGACCAAAACCACACGCAGACGCGCCCTTTACCTGTGTAAGCTCGCATCATCCAATTTCCAATTCGAAGGCCATCAACAACACACGGATTCCGGCTTCGTACCAGTTTTGCCATGCATAACTTTGACTATTTTTCCCTCGTAAAAGTTGTGTCTTGGAACAATATGCCTGTCCTCGCACGTATCCTTTGGTCTACAAAATCTCAACACAGCCTGTGTGCTCAAACGCGTCACAATGGGTCTGCCACCCTTTATCCCCGCGCAATGTGTCCATCACCGACGGCGCACAGTTCAGGGTCAAAGTGACCCGAAACTTCCATCCCCAGGCCTCGCTGCCACCCTCCGCAGGCGCGAGGGTAGCGCCTGCGCCCAATGCCGGCAGCCGCCATCCACGCGAGACAGCAAACCGTCAACCAGCGTGATTCGCGACCCATCGCCGTCATCAAGAAATCTGCCACATCAAGGCCAAAATTTGAACATCAAGAGGATTTGAGAACCATCGCTATCAGCAAGAAATCGTTCGGATGTCGTACATACCACTGCCGGGGGGTTGCCATGATCTCCCTGTTTCGAAGAAGTGTCCATGATTTGGAAGTGCCCAGGACATGTCCAGAAGTGGCCATGATTTCTTTGCACAGGAGCCCAGGATATGGCTGCTTTTGTGGCGCACAGTCCCGCCGCCGTGACTAGCGAATCACCACAAGTCGTCCACGAACGCACCCTCCATCTCCCACGCCTCCACCCCCGCCACCACGCTCCCCGCCGCCCCCTCGTTGAACAGCTCCAGGCCCCAGTCCCCCCTTCCCGCCGGGTACACCCTGCTGGTCGCCCGCACCCTTCCCCCCTGCCCCACCGCCTCCACCACCGACCTGTCCACCAGCAATCTCAGCGTGACCTCCTTAGCCACCCCCCCCAGCGTAACCCTTCCCCCCTGCAAATTCGCGCTGGTGGCCCCGCCGGTCGCGCTCCTGTCCACCCACATCTCGAGCTCCTCAACCCCCCCTCCCCCCGCGCTCAGGCTGCCGTTCAGAAACACGGACGTCAGCGCCCCTGTCCTTCCATGGGTCACCGCCACCCCTACTTTAAACCCAGTACTTGACACCTCGGCGCTCGCCTCGTCACTCAGCTTGAAAGTCGCCGACACGTCCATCTGCCTGCCACCCGACCCCCCCTTGGGGAACTTCAGCGGCAGCGCCCGTCGGGCCCCAGGTACCAGCTTCATCCCCCCCTGCTCAAAAAGCTGGGCGCTGCGCAGGGCCTCCACTTCACCAATCGGCGTCATGAGCAGCTGGCCGGTCTCCAAATCCACTTGCACCTCACGGGGAATGGTCTGAAGGCCCTGCCAGCCCCTGGCGTCGGTTAGAGGCGTGCCGTCCGAGCACGTGCCCGTGCAGCCCGTCGACGTCTCGAAGGACCAGCCCATCCATAGCAGGCGGCCCGAGGACGTGTTGAAGAACTTGGAGGCGTAGATGTCGCCGTGGTCGATGATGGCGGGGGCGAAGGGCGCGCCGCGCAGGCTGGGCGTCAGAGCGTTGCCCTGTCCGGGGACGGTTTTGTTGGTAAAGGCCAGGGGCACGTCACTCAGGACGTACCAGTCCCGTCCGAAGGGCGTCCGACCCCTTATCTGGTAAATCAACCAACAAATCGATCAGTGAATCACTCCGTCAGTCAATCAGTCTCCCAGCCAACTTAATTCAATTCAATAAAATTTTTTGACCAAGCAGAAAGTGTAGCGGTCAGCAATCAATCAATCATTAAATCAATCAATCGCTCACTCAATCAGCCGATTCAAGAATAGTGGTCAGCTCGCATTTTGCCCCAGGAGAGCAGTGTCCCTGGGTTGCTCAATGAGGATGTAAAAGTGTCGCACCAATGAAATCCAGAACCCGCCGCTGCCTTATTTCCCACAAGATGGTGTGGATGACAATCAGTGCAGCAGCCAACCAATCAGCCAATCAAGATATATATCACAGACACTTCGCGCTCTTTTTTGGAGCGATCAACATTGTTTGGGTTGAAATTGACAAATCTATGTCAAGTTCCCACTGAAACGTGAAGCTGATTGCTAATGCGCTTTGACGAGTGCTACGTTTTGCCTGCCTGAGGCCCGCAATGTCCAATCAGTGTCCACCGGCGCTTAGCTAACCATCTTGCAAATCTGCCAATCCTCATGCGTCATGACCAGTTACTCGATTTGAGAAATTATGATGACTAAAATTGCAGTGGCCAATTAGCCATCAGACGGGCACTGGTTCCAAAGCAACATCGCAGAATGCACCTCAGCGGGTCCAATGACTCCGCTGCTCTCGCCAAAAACTGGATTGACTGGCTGAAACGACATGTTAAACGTTCCTGCGAGCCGGCTGCCATGGTTCATGGGGCATATTCATCAATCCTTTGATGCGCAGAGCTTCTTGACTGACTGAAAAGCATGACTGCAAAAGCATGGAAAAGCATGGAAAACGCTGAAAAGCTGAAAGAAGCAGGGGAAAGCAGGAAAAATGAAGACAGAATGAAACAAGCATGACCAACTTAAATGTGCGAAACCTGTCGGGCGCCGCCCCCTTCACCTGGTCGCTGTACTTGAAGATGTGGATCACCTCCTCGCCCACCCTCTTCGGAAAATAGCACACCACCTCCCAGTTGCGCCCCTCCGCCCCAAACTGGGTCTCCCCGAAGGTGCACTCCGTCTCGTTCTCTGACGGCACCACGCCCGGCTGGCTGTGCAGATACCCGAAGAACTCCCACTTCACAAAGTCGCGAGACGCGTACATAGGCGCGGCCCCCACACAGGACACCTGTGAACCTATGGTCGTCAGCCACAGGCTGCCCAGCTCCTCCCCAACCTCCTGCCTCCAAGCCGTCTGAGGATCCCGAAACTGGAAGTTGGTGCCGCGGGGAGGGGCGTCTTCAATCACTGGGTTCCTTGGGTCCTTGACCCACCGCTGCAGCAGCGGGTCGCTGCCGTTCTCGGGCCTGGCCAGCGCCTGGACCTGCCAGAAAAAGCCCAGCTCCTGGCGTCGGGAGGTGCCCGTGTACATTATTACGGGGTCGCCGTCGGGCAGCACCGTGGCGCTGCCGCTGAAGACGCCGTCGATGTCGTACGTCTCTTCCGGGGAGAGGGCGACGGGCAGGCGCTGCCAGTGGGCCAGGTCCCTTGAGGCCGCGTGGAACAGTCCATCATTCATCATCATCATCATTATTTACAGAACAAGGCAATGAGGTAGTCATCATTCAGTCGACTGTTCAAGCGCGTGATCAACACTTGAAAGTGCTTCCAGACCATTTTGCGAAGGGCTTGGAAGCAATCTACGTTTGCCGTAAAACTGGCGGTTCATTTCGTGGAAGCCTTTTTGAGACAGAGTCAGATTGCTGAAATCACGTATTTTTGGTGCAAACGGGGTTGAAAAGGTGTCAATTCATGCAACTGTAACCGTGTTATTTCACGCCACGTTCGTCATCGTCACAGCGAGGCATTTTTGCAAATAACGGAATATATGGTTAGAAGAGTAAGACTAGGCTCTCACAACATTAAACCACAGAACACAAGTCGGGCGCCACCTTGAAGCGACGTGGCCCCAGTGGGGCGCTCCCCAGATGGGCGCCGAGGGATTGAACTGGAAGAAGACGTGGAAAATGCCGTCTCGTTCCATCAGTCCGTTAGGGTCGTTCATCCAATTAGAGGGCGGCGTGATGTGGTAGGCGGGCCGAAAGTCCACCCCGTCGTCGCCGCCGTTCGGGGACATGGTACCTGTGACATCGCACCGGTAATTGAAGAACGCTCTCTGGCGCAATATCGCATCTAATGGCAGTAAAGCAAGCAATCTTAGTTTTGATGGGCGTCGACGTTGTTGTGCCTGCGGCTTTACATTCTGTGGCTGAGAAGGCTCTGCCCGACCCATCCATACCATCAACCCCACGGTTGGCGCCAAGTTGAATGCGGCATGGTGTTTCTTAGTACATCGTGCGACAATTGTAATGGCAATATTTATGGCCTGCGGCTTTACATTCTGTGGCTGAGAGTTGAGGCTCTGCCCGACCCATCCATACCATCAACCCCACGGCCACTCACTTTCACCACACTTGGCGCCAAGTTGAAGCCGGAATGCGGCATGGTGTTTCTTAGTACATCGTGCGACAATTGTAATGGCAATATTTATGGATCCCTGGAGGTACAAGGGTCCATTCAAAATCAGTTTTGTCATTTGCTTTTACGTTTGTGTTACGATTTTGCCTTTGCACTTTTACAAGTAAAAACGCAAACTTCGAAAGGGCCTATTTATGCAGCTGTAGTTGCGCTTTTACGGACACCATTTTATATGATCAAAGTCGCGTAAAGTGATCAGTCCTCCGCCCCATCGAGCATACGGAACACAGCGTTCACCTCGCCCTCGGCAAGGGCACCGACGTCGTCGGAAAAAATTCGTTTGCTGCCCAGTCCAACGCGTCCGACTACCGCTCCCCGGACATCGCAAGCCCGCGTGTACTGTCTTGATGTACGCGGGGCTCTATTTACGCTTTATTTACGCATTGTTATGCCTTTTTCATGCGCAAAACCGCAAACACTATTTTTACGCGTGGAAAAGTAAATACGATCAGTATTCTCAACGTGAATAACAAGCCTGCGCAAGATTATGCAATACCGACATCACGCTCAAGAAATAATGTCCGAAATAGCGTCACAATCGGCCCAAAGAATCACAGAACCGTGCAAGTAATTACCCATCTGGGCTAGCCGCAGGCCGTGAATCGTTGGAAGATAGATGGCCAGAAGCAGCCACCCCGCCAGCGATGTCCCCGCCATTGAGTCGGGTGCCCTGAATCCTAGAGGGCGCACACGACGCCGTGTCAAAACACAAAACACTTCTGGGCAAATTTGGATGGATGAAGGACCACAATGGCAACAACCACCCTTGTTCTTGCCATTGTCAGCCGGAATGTGGGAAGTTGCAACACCGCAAGAGTGCCCTGTCTCGTAGACAGCGTCTTAGTCGCATGAATGCATAAACACTTTGGAGTTTCAATGTGGGCACATCGAGTGTCCTTGCCATGTAGCACTACCCCGGAGATGGGTTCAGAGAGCATTTTATGGACACAGACGCACGACCTGAGGCAAGGCTTGTCGACAAGTGCTCAAGCAGAACCTATTGCGCCATTTCGTTGTGAGATCATTTTTTTCAGACAACTTAAACAAGAGATTTTAGCCCTCCGGCACGACGAAATATGCATATATACGATGTAATGGCTGGATCCAGCAGCTGAAATACACATCTGGAGTAGATGGACTAGCTAAATGGAATAACTGTTTGACACGTTGGCTGCAAGGCGCCTTATTGAGTTGGTTGAATCAGCCAAACCGAAGGTGGTTCTGGGACACATGCGGGTCCAGATGGTTTGCGGGAGTGTCCAGAATCAGTGCAGCAGCAGCCCACGCGACGTTGGTCAACCTGCGAACGCCATTAGGTTTCAACGAACAAGTCCTGGACGCTGCTTCGCCTGGGCAAAATATGAAGCTGATGGTGATGTGCTAGGTTCAGACTGTGCCAGAGGCAGCTATGGCCTCGGGCTTGAAGACACAGCTGAGGAAGCAGAGCCATAGAGAGACTAGTGACCTGCGTGACCCTTTATACTCAGACAGCCATCCGTCGATCACAGCCCAGTCACTGACGTATCAACGGCTATCTACTTGCCTCGTTATGCAAAATTGTATTAAGGTGATGGTGGCGAAGCTGCGCAGCGCGTTACCGGGGAGCGCTGCCTGCTGGTTAGTGACAATTTGACCAAGCGACATTCTGGCCAAATATCGTAACCATTCCAGAGGTCGGGCCTTCGGCCCAACGTTCCACACTTTTTGTCACCCCCATTTTTGCAACCGGAACCTGCAACAACCGTTTGTTCTTCCCAAATAGAGAAGACAAGCACTTTCTCAAGGATGGCATGCACCAGCGGAAAACAGCCTGTTTGCGATGCCAACTGCGACGCCATTTGACACAAATTGATGCCATCACAGCCACTTTTATGCCATCGCAATCACTGTGATGGCATCATTTTGTGTCAAAATGGCATCGCAGTTGGCATCGCAGACATGCTGTTTTCTACCAGTGATGTGAATTTCTCTCCCCCCAAACCCGAGGTGCGTACAGTCAGTGGCCCAATGATGGAGGCCATCCGCAGAGACTGTGGCCCACCATCCTACCGCCTTCAACTATGCAATTCCCACCATCGCTAGAATGCATCGCACGATTGTTGCCCCCCCAACCCCCTCCCCACCATGGAGTCCCACATCGATGAGGGTACCGGTTGCCTCTTGCCGCACAAGTGAACGACCCGCCCACCCTCCAAGTCACCCTTGGGCCCCTTGCCCCCCTTAGCCCTGGGCGGCTGCGCATGCGATGTGGCAATTGCACTCCACTCAGCGATCGCCAGCCGAATGCTAGTGCTAAGCGCGGTCGCGGACCTCTAGAATCTCTGAGCGGCGCAGCCACACGGGGAAGGCAACTTCCAGTTTTGATTTGCCGTTCTGGATGGTTGGAATTTGCACCATCGCTCCAAGGCATCACATGCGCCCACAGGACCGGACGAAAGAGCACACGACGAGCACCGTCGGGTGCCGGGCGCCATGGGAACGGCTTCAGAAAGCCTCGCCTCTACCCCCCGTTGCACTCCGGAAGCGGCCCCCGCTTCGGCGGGACCCCCTGTCGGACTCACACCACACCATCGCCCAGACACACCCGCGTTGACTTTCCGACACCGCCGCGACGACGCGAGATCGCGCCGGGAAAGCGCGCTTCGAGCGCAAGTGGGCGCGGCGCGCCGCAGCCGCGTCACCGATAGCCGCGCCCCTCCCGTTGGGCGCCTTAGAGCGCAGCCACCCACCTATGCATGCCCACAGAGCCCCGCCACTCACGTACCCCCCGTGTCATAGGGGTCGACACTTGCATAAGAACGCTGACTCGTACTAAGAAAATAGTTTCCAGGGCGCTCTAATTCGGGTTCCGAGCATATAATATTAGACCTGTGAGATGCGCTGAAAAGTGCTGCCGCCTCATCTGGCGATGTCGCTCACTGAAACGATGCCGTGGGAACTTCAACCGCTTGGCTTGTGTGCCCCGCCTCCTGAGCGCGAGCGAGGCGGCAGTGGCGCATGGGGGAAGGAGTGGCCCTGCTCTTAGACAGGACTATCGCGAAGGCCAGTCTTGCCGCCTGAACTCCAGATAGGCCGTACCACCGATGGCACATCCCGACCGTCGTTCCGGGCCTGATGTCGATCTACAGAAACGACCACGGCGGCGATCCTGGCCGGCGTTTGCGTTTTAAAAAGCGTATGCCAGCCCTCTTGGAAAGTCGTCGAGCGTCTGACGTTGCGTGGTGCGCCCGTCGCCGCCACATTAATGGACGCAAAATACGAGGGAGCCGCGCATCCCTTGCAGAGATTCCAGCCAGAATCCGCCCACAGCCGGCTTTCACCACACTCGTGTGTCTAGAACGTCACTCGACGGTGCCGAAGCCACCAGGGCGCCCGTTTGCCGTTGCCCTGGTCATGCTACTACTTCATAGCGACTGCCCCGCGGACCCCGAAACGGCTGCACTTTTCCCCGTCAGACCGTGGCGCCAAACAACGGCGTCAGCACATCACACTTTCATGCCCAATGTAGCCTCGTTGCTCCCGGGCCTAAATGTACTTAGTGCATGGTTGTCACATCTTGGCTTCACACTTTCACACAACACACTCCTTCCCCCGCATCGCCAGCTCGTGAAAGGGCCTGTCTTGCCATACGGTGACAATTATGTAATCGTCAAGAAATCCTCACAACAACTTCCGATACGGGTGCGATAATTCGGCCAGCGTGTCACTTGGCCGGATTGTCGCTGCGCGGCAGCGGGGCAGCGCGCGAATCGCTGTCCGCGCACATGGCCATGGGGGGAGCGCGGCTCGGGAGGCGCGGCAACCGCGGAGGCGTCGACAGCAGAACCTCACCTTTTGAAAGAAGCCGCCCTGGGGAAGCGACACACACGTGTAACCTAAGCACGGAAGACGATTGTCTCAGCCGAGGAAAACGGTGAAGAGCAGGACGTGTTTCGCGGGCACGCCCACGGCTGCGGCCAAACGCGTTGCCAAACATGGGACAGGGGGGTGGGTGGGTGGGTGGGCGGAGGGAGGGGGGACAAACAGAAGATGCTGGCCTGGTGGATCGAGGTCGCGGCGAGGGAAGGGCTGGCCGGAAGGATTCTGACCACCGGCAGGCGGAACTGGCATAAAAGACGAGCGCAGTCGCCACACCGATGCGATTCGCTGGCGAGGGAGGGCTCCGGCGACAATGGGGCCGCCGAGACGGGCGCCCACAAGGATTTCAGGGCGATCGGGGATCAGGCATGCGGGGGGACGGGGGGACGGCTGGGCGATCCCACGGCCCATCGACCCACGAGCGCGGCAACGGGCATTTCAAGCAGACGATCGTCGCGGCTGCCCGCGCGCGGAGACGATCGCTGCGGGAGGAGTCGACAGAAATGGGTTGAACCGGCTGAGAGGGTGAGTCGGATGAGGGCAACATGTGCGGTGGGGGGGGCCGAGGGAAGGGATGGCGGGGATTGGGCCCTGCGATCGGGAGGCGCGCACTGACCGGCTTGCGGTGGCGCACGTGCAGTCGCCGCTGGGGCCGTCGCGCGAGGACCGCCACTGGAGACTGAGGCGGAGGGAGGCGCGCAGGAAGTGCGCACTGGCGGGAATAAGTACTCCAATCCCGGAACGCTGCGGTCCTGCTGGTTGGGAGCTTCTGTGATGGCCGGCGTCACACCACTCCTGGGAACCGTCGAGCCACCGTCTGTAGGTGCCGGCGGGTTTGACGTGCACGGAAGCCGAAAACGCGTCACAGCTCACGGGCGCCTCACCACACAGTGGACCGCCGCCTGACGCATGCCCGGGGTAGCTGCTGTTCACTGGCCGCTGGTCTGCGCACGACGGCGGCGGGCCGGAGCCCCGGATGGGCGCCGGCAGCCGCCACGCGGATGTGGCAGTTTCCTCTGAACGCGATGTGTGAGCCTCACACTGTGAGGAGTCTGAGTTGAGTCGGGACATATGAGCCCCTCTGCCTTTTGTGTGTGGATCCCTTCTTCTGCCGCTGACAAGGCCAACGCCTGTCAGTGGGTCAGTGGTTTAGGTTTTGGGGTGTCCGAAAGAAGATGGAATCCACATGGAAAGACAGAACGACTAATCTCATACAGGGTGACAGAACGGGCGACGTGGCACCACGGTCGCGAATGTGGCCCACAGACGACGGGCGTGAAAGGCAGCAGGTAAAGTCCCATGGCGTTCCGATCCTACGCCCAGGGATTATCTCTTCTCTGTCAGACTGTTCGGGAGTACTACTAGCAGTAGCAACAACGACATAACATGTGACTTAGTCCGCAGTGGCGTTTACAATCGTCAAGCATCGGTCTGTTCGCAGGCCTCAATGCGTCAGATTTCGACTCACTGAAGCGAAAGCACCCAATTCCTTTCCTCGTGCGGCTGCCAAGAGTGTAAATCAGTTCAGCGAGCATTGGCGCAGTTTGCACTTCCCCCCCATATAGGGGGCTAATATATTAGCGGACCCAAAGTCGAGACACAAGCGCAGAAGAACATAGTAGGAGACTTGCTCGTCCTGAATCCAGCATGGGAGACACACCCGAGATACTCACCGCCGCGTGCACTGACAACTCCGATCCGGATCGATTGTGGCATCGTCAAAAAAGGTTGCCACGCCCAGAATGCCTAATTTGCGGGACGGGATCAGAAATATAGTGATTTCGCTTCCCAGTGGCATCCATTTCCGGTCACGCCAGTGCTGGACCTGATTTAAGAGATGGGTTTGAACCGGCAGCCTGGTGCCGTTGCACACCTCTGCAATGCCTTGGGGAAAGGGCCGATGAGGCTAGCTGCGTTTCTTACCACGATCTTCAGGTGCAGGCAAAGTGCCCATCTCTGGAGTTTGATACGGCCTGGCCATGCTTTACAGTCTCCGCATGCAAAGCAGTGGCAAAGATGGCCTGAGATGAGGCTTGAGGGCTTCAGGTCTTACTGGCAAGGCGGCGCGGCGGAGTTGACGGCCTTGTCAGCCAGTGGTCGCTTGCGCAATTGCCAAGTTGAAAGGTATGCGACTGACTTGTATTGGTATTCATGATGGTGGCAAGAATGCTTGCGAAACACACCCTTCATCGAAAATTCAGCCCGTGCGGTGTGCGTGGCTATGATACTAGAGGTGGAGTACTCTTCTCCTTTGAGTGCGCAAAGGCGCTAGCGCAGAGGAAATGGGCAATGCGGTCCAATTTGCTGCGCTGACTGGACAGTGAAATGGGCTTCAATGGACACGTCAGTGATAGGTGTCTGGGCACGCTCCCATCATCTTCTCACAGAGGAAAGTAGCAAAGTAACAACATCTTGTAAGACATCTTATAAGATCTTACGTCAGATTAATAGTATTGATAATTATCAATACTCATTCTGACGTAATATGATGACAGCCAGCTGTGTCTGACATGGTTTCAACCGAATATGTCGAAATCGAATATCCCAGGCAGCATCCAAAGCTTGAAATTTGGGCAAAGTGACTATTCGACTTTGTGAAAAGGCGCATATAACCGATCACGCTGTACCAAGAACGGATCCACTTGTACCCACAGCCCATCAACGAAGGAAGCGTCTTTTTTCCAACCGTTCAGTTTCTACACCTTCATTTACAAATACCTTAACCTCATCCAATCCTTTTTTGGTGTCTCCACCGTCTCTGATTCAGAGTCTTAACAATCGCGAAATGAAATGGGTCCACCCAGTTGACGGCCTAAGCGCATTTGGCTCACTTGTCCTGCTCCGATCACATGCAGTATCACGTCCCTCGCGGGCGTTCCAAGCCTACAATGAGCACTAACGCATCTCCTCGGATTATATTTTCTTGAGGCTTATCCGTCTCCATGCCATATTCAATACCACAATTTCTATCCTTCAATTTCTACAAATGTGAACTGCCAACCAGGGGCACCGCAACCAAAGCAGACAAATCATTCGTTGTCAGATGAACCACCGTGATGCCATGGCCACAGTGCCCTCACCAGGCACCAGCGAACATCATTCTGTCCATGCCACCAATAAAGAATGTGCAGAAACACCCACAGCGTGCCTGATGTGCCAGCGTTGAGCCCATGGACACCGACCTCTCACTTTCACAGTGAGGTCCAGCTCCAAAAGGACATGGTCCTATGCTGATGGCTCGACCAACACAAAAATCTGCTCAGATGCCAAAACCACATCAAGCTCTCAACCAATCATCAAACTAATCTGGAGCATGGTCGTGTCCACATATGCAGGGGCGAGGTCTGAGCCTCTGCTCTTACGTTGCCGCCCTCACATGCCTGGACTGGGAAATGCACCCATTGCGTGGCGCCATTGTACGCAACAAAATGACTTCCTCATCTGATGGAACATCACCACATGCACAACGCACAGCCCAAAGTGACCTGGGGCGTCATTTCTATTACCTTTGTTGTTGACCACAATGCCGCTCCTGCTCAGGGCATGGTCTCCAAGCTCCACTGCAACTCGATGCCTTGGTTCCCAGGAGGACAAAATTGCAACTGTAATACATGTTTCTATCCCTTTCTGCTCTCAGAGTCTGCATTTCTTGTCACTGCTATCCTCTACCGTTCGAGCACCTACGCCTTCCCTATCTATCCACTCTCTGTATGCCTCGATATCTGTGTACACCACTGAAGGACGCTGTGCGTCCCGGCCACCGCCCTTTGGCAGTTGACTTGCAGGCATCTTGTATGATGCAATCCCGACCAAGTAGGTGTCATTACACATGAGCGGTGCCCCAAGGTCCCCTGCAACGATGTAAGCAACATATTCGAATGGAGCAGAAATTGATCAATTTCATTTCTCATTTATGTGCACAGAGTGACATATCAGTCAGCACTCTAAATGCGCGACAACTGGTAAACAAACATCGCATTGCCTAGCGAGAACCACCTAATTAAAAGCGCTGCCATTGTTGACAACTGAAAACTACAGTAGCATCAAGGCTCAAAGTGACACTGTGCTAGAAGAACAGAGCAATGGTGCTACTAACATGTTAAAAGCTGACGCCATTTATTGATAAGGACACACAGCTTTGGTGGAGCATCATCTGAATAGTTAGCAAGCAGTGTGAGATTAACAGTAATGGTGGATCAACCAGACCTCGTGAAAACACATGCAGAGCCAAAATAAAGCACTTTCCTGTTTTGAAACAATTGGAAACGGATGAGATTTAGAGACAACGTCCTCAACGTTACATGCAACGCGGGGCAAAGCCAACCCCACCCACCCGCGGTTGCTTCTGGGGGAACATAGGGCACTGATACTTGGACATGGACATTGTGTGTTGTCCATGCATGTGGCAATGACGTGGCATTCAGTTACCGTTTCAGTGTAATGAGCAACAACAACGACTACACGCATGTGCGTAACGCCCCACGCTGAACAAGTAAATCACAGCAGGCATGAAGCAAGGCAGTTTCAAGACCACTGGGGCGCGGGCAACATGTCGTGGACTGTCCCATTAAATATCAACCAAAAATTTCAATCTGCCAAGTAAGAAGTCAGCAAAGGTAGTACAGTTGCCAACTCAAAGGAGGCCTATGGATTTTCTATGCATCAAGTCAATGGCCTCTTGAAATTCTGTGTTCCCTTGGGACTGTGCCGCCCCAATGCACAACTGTCTTAGGCTTACACTAACTGTATACTATGAGTTGCTCCAACCTTTCTGACAAATATATGCTACCAAACCATCATTCTGCATAGATTTATCGTTTGATTTAAATTGACATGGAATGGCCTGTTCTGCCAAATAGAGAAAGGCATTCTGTATGGGTTTGTGCACCAACTGTTTTTTGGCCTGTGAACCGCGCATTGGGATTTCCCGACCCCGGGCCACATGGCGCTCGGGCGGGGAGCGGTGCAGAGCGGGCGTTGATGTAATCCACGGCTTGTATTGATCCAAACGCAGTGAGACGTCCCACCAGTACAACATCGAAATTCTATCGGGCGGGCGACACCCCTCCTCACGTACACATGTGGTCGTCCGCAAATTAACACACGTATGTCCGTCCGTATTTGCAAAACAACCTAATTTGCGGATGCGGATGTGCCGGCGTCTGCACCGGCACAAGCTGGTCCATCCGCCGGGATTGGCTTTGCCCAATCTGCGAACTTGCGGACCGATGCGGGTTTGTCAGTCTGTATCTGCAGACTAGCTGGCGTCCGTCCACCAATTCGCCGACAGGCCGTCCGTCAGAAAATTGGTGGACGAAAGCGATAACCATCGAACAGTTGGAAAGATGGGCCAAGAAACTTCACAAATTGAAAATGTAAGCTAGAAAAAACTGTTGGAAAACGATTCGTGTACTGGATCAACAATGCAAAGCGTCATTTCGGTGCAAGCTCCTTAGGTGCGCAGCAACATTTGAGTGATTCGCGCAGCTTTATGTCAGTCTTCATTTTACAATCAGCAAATAAACAAGAAAGAACAAGATATTTAAACGTTCGCATTTGTGCGGAGCTGCGCAAAACCACGTTCAAATGCAGTACTCACAATATTGGCCCGTCGTGTCGTGCCTGGCAGTGCATAGCACACCCTCCGGGAGCTCCTTCAGCTGTGCTTTGCAAGCATCGCAGTCCATTGGCCATTGGTTGAGCAACACCTCCAAGTGCGAAGAGCGAAGCCCGTTGTCATCCGCAAACCACCCAAACGTTGCCAGATTATCGTCCTTGCAGCGGCCTATAGGAATGGAGCGGATGGGGGACATATGGCAGCAGATGGCTCTTTGGAGGATCAGCAAGGCAATGTCCCTCCCATGTGATGGGTTGCCAGTGAAGTCAGAGTGCAAGATGCGCCGGCATGTGGGCACCAGGACCTGGCACGCAGCAGCAGCGAAGGTGTCGAATTCTGCTCTGTGGATTGAATTCATGCACAACAGATGTGCACAATATTAGTGCTTCCTCTGTCGAAATTGAATGTCGCCTTCTGAATGAGTAAGTTCACAACATGAGAAAGATGTCAAATGTCAATGCAGCGCCACGTGCAGAGAGAAGAGATTCTAAAACCCTGGAGGCCGACTTTCCCGCCATTAAGTGTTGTCATTCAATCCGCCATGCATGCCTCAAAATGCGCCGGCGTTTGACAGAAATCAGCGGTTAATGCAACCTGCTGGGGGCACCGTTTCTGGCGCACGGCGCTGCCAGTACCTTGACACCGCCATTGCTTCAAGACACGACCCCAACATACTGATTTTTGTCGGCACTGACAACTTCACCCTCCTAGCACCGTGGGGTCCGCAGGAAGGGCATCATTATGAGACCCCAATCTTGCCGGGTTTGGCAAGACCTTGGATTTTTTGCAGTCTCTACCCGACTCGAATGGCTCAAGTACTGCTACCTACTCTTAAGTGTGGCGCCGGATTTATATCCAAAACTTGTAATGCTTTTCTGAGATGTGAGTCTCCTTGTTTGCGAGTCATTACATTCCCTCATTTTTGCTGTATGCATTGTCCATTGCATTAATTTACCGGAGGCAGTTCTTAGCACTGAATTGTTGCTTTAGAAATACCACTACTAATATAGGAAAGAAGACTCGCTCTTCCAAGCACGCAACTACGGCGCAGTTCAAATATTGTAATAAACATTACCAAGAAGATATGTATATGCTGATGTATTACATCGCGATATATGTTTGGTGGAAGGATAGTCGTGTGCCGGCTAGGCTGCAGCCTCAAATGTGGGCTTTAGTTGCCACAATTCCAGTGTCAATGAAAATTGTCAATACTGCACCAACGCCAACGAGAACTGTCAACACAGCACTTGGCTACATACTGCTGCAGGCGAAACACCGACCATTCGTTGTGCTAAGGAAATTTAATGCCACACCACATTCTATTTACAGCCCTCACTTATTCTAGTGTGAGCGACTGCAAGAACGACCACCAACTTGCATTATGGGTGGAAAGAGACGTGACGTGTCTGTGGGCAAGGGCACAGCGACCAACATTGAGTGTACTTCGCCAGAATCTGCCCTCTGTTTCGTTTTCGCAACACTAACATTTCACTACAATCCCTAAAAACATTTGATCGTGCTTTAGCCCCAATACAACCAGAATGTAAGTTTGTGGTTCCAAACGGGTTCCTCGATGAATCCGTCGCTATTTGCAGATGATCATAAACAAACTCCATTGCCCACGTCAGTGGTGTGCTACAATCAGCAACCAGACATCATCAAGCACAGGATCACCTCAGGAATACAATGGTAGTTTACTTGACGAAGAGAAACATGTTGCTATGAGCTTAGCAATTTCTGCAATTGACACACAAAAGGGAACTTGAAATGCTGCAGTTGCCTCTGAAGTCATAACGGGCATGCGCAATCGCCTCATATTCCCCTGGCATTCATTCCAGATTGCAATTTGAGTTCTTCACTACAATCAGCCCTCCAGGCCAGATGGCCCCTTAGGCTGTCTGGTTGCGCCTTTGTGTTGCACAGGGTCGCTGCACAACAGAGGTCGACTTCTTAGTGGAATGGGTCCCACTTAGTGGAATGCATTGGCGAACGCGCTTATGAAAGACCTATCTACTACTTAGACTGGTTCAATCAACAGGGCGGATTGTGTAGATGGGGTAGATGCCACGTCGCTCGCCTGAGACATCACTAGAAACGCCCCCTTTCAAAGTAGGGTGATACAAAGCTTAGCACTTTACTATGCTTGACTATGATTATGTCAATTCTTCCCACAAGGGTGTTTAGATTCTGACTCCAAGTAGTGAGGCCTGCTGTCAGGGTGGCTGCGGCAGGACTGCCACTTTCAGTATCAATGGAGTTATGCAAATAGAGTTCACACTCCGCAATGGGGAACCCTGCCATGAAGGCTCCCACACACAACCTGGCCGAGTAGAGTGGGCAATAATAGGAGCAGAAGCAATGTAACAGCAACAACTATGGAAACAGATGGCACTTTGTTCCCATTCATGCCTCGTGAGGCCTGGAAGAGTGCCCAAAAAGGGCTACTTTGGTCAGGAAGAGGATTGAGATCCGGTTTGGAATGGGTGCACCCCATCTTTAATCCTTGACAATACACAGAGCTTGTGACAGAGAGTCCGTGCTTAAAATGCCCATATCTGCACTACTTTATGCCACAACTTGGAGATGTGCACCTATGACAAGCACGGGAGCACCCATCCCGGTGGGGCACCACTGGCGTCTTGCCATGGTGGGTACTCCCAGGTGCTTCATGCAAGCGCCCACCCTGGCAACCACCACACAGTGGAACCTTCCTGGCCACAGTTGGTATCAAGCACAAGGAGGCACAGGGATAGATCTGGCCATCAACTGCCAGGGCATTTGCCAACATCTGGCAGCAAGTGTGTGCCGACACAGTGCATGATTGCTGCGACAATATGCAGCTGCCGTTGACTGCGATTGCTGGTCGGCGTGGTTAATGTTGGTATGGCCTTCCAGTGCCACTATTATCACTAATGGGGTGACAAACGCACCGGCAGCCAGCACAATGGCACCCACCCTGCCACTTCTTCCCTCACGCCCACATGCCCTTTGTTGATTCACTGTGCACGTAAATTGTGGCCCACAGTTTGAAGGGCCTGCTGTCCTGTTTTCCATTCCTGCCAGTGACAGGCAAGATCGGAAATTGGAAAAGGGACAGTTCTGGCCCAAGCCCATGAAACTAAACCAGGAATGGATAAGAAATGGGGGAGAACAGGGTCAGGATCAGGGCTAGAGTAACGACCCCATTCTGTTGTTGCTGTTCCTCCTCAATTCGAATCCATAATTGCTGCTTCACCACAGCAGCCCACTGCCATCTTCACTGATGCTTGATTATTGTGGTCAACGCTCACAGGTACTAGCCTAGCTGCTTACCGTACGGCGGCTGTTCCCAGCTGCCGTGCATTTTCTTCTGCCATTTAACATTCAGCAAGAATATGAATTAACAGGACATTAATGATGTACCAAGTAACCATGGAAAATTGCAACTTCAGTCAATAGCTCATGCTGACAGCTAGCCCATGATGGCTCTGTAGCACAAAAAGCACTGTTGTCACTGTAGTGCAATTCTAGCAATATCCCACATGTGTCCAAGTAGAGTTGCCAATCAAGCGTACCTCAACTCCCTGTTCACCTTCCTTGTTCACTGTGCCATTGAGATGATAGCTGCTGATCCTGACCAGCGGGAAAGCATCCGCAGCTGGATTGACTGTTTTGTCAACACAATATGCAGGTGCCAACACAGTTCGTGGCCCAAAAACCACTCCAGTGCACATGTGGACCCTCTTGATGGCATCCACAATGTTCACTATGAATGTGTATTTCATCACGCAGGCGTCTTTTGTTATCTGTGACAAATCAATGTCAGAGAAGGCACAGAATCGGTCACTCTTGAAGACGCCAGACAGTTCAGAGTGACTGGAGAGCGTTGGCTGAGCACAGTCGAAAGCATGGGCAGCAAGCACAGTATGGAGTTCCTGGCTTTGCTGTGCCTGGTCACTGTTGCTGACAAACAAACCCAGGCAGTTCCCACTATTGCAAGATTGCCCAAGAGTCTGATGTTTCTATGCCATTGTCAAGTTGTGCTGCTCCTGAATGCTCAGACCCACAGCCCAGAGTGTTCAGATGAGCTCAAATCAGGCACAACCTTGGGCATCAATGTATTGGAAGTGCATTGTCAGAGCAAAGTGCAGGCATGCAAAAAATTGCAGGTTGTATTGGTAGCATTGCAACTCCTACTGAGAAAAGATATTGCACGCAATTCCATTTCCCTGATTTGGTGGGCCCCGACTCTCTGTATCCAGGGCACCATTGGAATCTGGACCTGTACCAGGACCCTTTTGCAACTGTGCAAACGTACATTCAGCACTTCCCCGCAGATCAGCAGGGCGATTGTCTGTTGGCTTTCTGTCTGGCATATTGGAGTTTCTGGAGTCATTTTATGGATAATCGAAGAAGGGAACCAGCCTTTTGCTTGAACAAAGAACAACACATCCTGCAATCGGAAGACAAGGAAGCACATCCAGGGCAAAACTGGCATCCACTTCCCAGGTGGTAAGGTGCATGAATACACAGACGACGTTGCACACATTTTCCCGTTGTTACCATTCCACACACACCTTATATCTCAGTGCCCTTGTCCTTCCTGCACAGCAAATGCAACAGGGAGGCAAAGTCAGTCCATATTTGCAGCTACCTCCCAATTGCCAGGTGCAAATCTGCAACTGGTCCTGATTACTCTGTGCTCAATAAGGTAAAGGCAGGAATGGGAACCCTGCAGCCTGCCAGAGCCCATTGAAATCAGCTTGTACAGTGTCAGGGAGCAATGGTGCCAAGCAGCTCCGTATGGGGGCAAGTCCATAAATGCACAGGCAGGCCAGTATGGATGTGTGAAGCGCAACAGCGGCAACATGAGTTTCATTCCACAGCAATGCATGCACTGGCTTCCTCGCCACCCAGCCATATTAAGCCATATTAAGTGCTTTCTTGTCATCCCAGCAATTCGCTAAGGCTACGTTTGTGACGATTTTTGCTCAGCAGGGAGTCCCAATCATCATTTAAAAGGCGTTGTTCCGAACACTTGTTCCAGATACCCCAAAACTGCTTCTGTGCAAGTGAGGGGCTGGATTCGAAGCACATGCCGCTGTCCACTCAGGGCGATGCGCGTCCAGGTTCAGGATGCCAAGTCACCCACGCGGTGCAGCAGACCCGGAAAATGCGTCAGGCAGCCCAAACTTTGCAAGCCCACGCGACTAAGCGCCCATTCGCGCAGCCCACACAAACTATCCATGCATCCTTGCCAGAGAAGCGGATGCCCGTCACAACGCACGATCCACGCCCCGCAGGCCGCCTCATATTTCCCAGCGCGGCGGATCGGCCGACGCTGCCGGTCCCGTGCGCTGCCGCCGCTGCTCAATCGCCCAGCGCGCCACAATTCTCGTCGCTCCGACAACCGCCGCTTTCCGGAATCGCAGCCCAGCATCACCCACGTTCCGCCGCCATGTAGCACGGCCAGCTGCCCTCCTGGTGGGGCGCAAGGCCCCCCGCGGACGCGCCCACGGACATCGGCGACTGCGTCTGGAAGACGCCCACGAACATGGATATCAGCACCGCGGTCAGGGCCACGGCCGTGCTGCCCAGAAAGAACTGCAGCCTGGGCCTGAAGGGGTGTCGTTGGGCTGAGTGGCCCCGCGACCCGGGCCTAACTGTCAGCCAGGCCCAAAAGTCAGGTGGGCGCATGCGTCCGGTGTCTCCCCTTTGACTCCCCTCGGCGTGGGGGCCGTCCGGCGAACTTTTGACGCGGGGCACGGGCTTTTTTTGGCCATGCCTTCAACAGGTGTTTTTTCTCGGTTGACGGGGGCACGGGGAAAGTGCCTGGAACATTCGACACGCTGGTCATGTCACGTGTCTCTGCTGAACTCGGGTAATCAAGCAGAGTACTTCTGCTGGCGGTGTACAATGACCTCACAATAATTGGTGGAAACTCCATGTCCGGTTTACGACATTCAGTCCCATTTTTATCCTCCAGCCAATCAATGATCGACGCTGTCGTGACCAAAACTGATTGAGTGTTGTTGATGGCTGGACGCGCCGAGAGGTGATGAGACAATAGGAAGTGAATTGAGGACATTGATGAAAGGACCGGATATATAAGGGATATAAAAGGGACTGTTCGATTTACCACAAACTGACCAGCAATTATAGGTCACTTTTGCTTTCATGGCAATCAAATGGTGGGTGTTGGGCGTCTGCCCCAAGGTGGAGCGGGACAAGCACCGGGACCTGTTTGGCGGTTGTCACCCCCCTTGTGCATTTAATGTAATACGTAATTTGTAATTTAAAGTAATACATAAGGATGGCGTCACTGGGTCGCCGGCACCACAGGCTTTGATGGGACGGCACTCCGCAATTACGCCTTCGTCAACGCCACTGTTTGGCTTGAGGATGAAATGGGACTGGCCGCTGATGAGCCGGATCCGGGCTGGGACCATGTGGAAGGCGGGCATGGCCACGGGCTTGGAAACGCAGCCGAGGAAACACAACCTAACTCTCTGTAACACAGAGAGATCACTGACAGGCATGTCCTCCTGTGCTCAAACAACCGCCCGTCCATCGTGGACCAGCCGCTGTCGCGTCACCACGGCAATACCAAAGGTTTGATTTCCACGTTGCGCTGATGCGGCAGAGAGCGCCGATGTCTAATACAGGATGCTGGGGCCCTAGCGGTTCATAAGGATAGAGTGAAGACACCAGACTCTTCGCGTTGTCAAGACTCTCATTGCACCTTGGCATTCATCGCCGGCTTAATAAACATGACTCATCTTTGCCAAGACCTGGGTGTGTTGCTCAAATTCACTACAATTGTGAAGGCAACTTAGGAAATGTGTACACATTGCACATGCGGTGAGCAACAGTGAGTATGGTGAATATGGAGAAAACTGTTGGCGTGTGGGAGGTGAATCTAGGGCCAGTGTATGAGGGTGAGCAAGTAGCGGTGATTTGTCGCTCAACACTATATAGCACATTTGAACAAATGAGTGCATAATGTAATCCATCCCGCGGCCGGTCATAGGATCCAGTGCTCCTGAGCTAAGCATGACAACAATAGTGGGTTGAATGGCATTTTATGAGCATTTGTTTTCTCCATGGCTACTTTGAACGTTTGGTCAGATAACTTGTTTGAACTTTGCAGTTGCTGCCAGTAGTGTGCTTGGCACAAGAGTGGCTCACTTGGAGTATAAGAAACGCAATGGAAATAATGGGGGTGGGAAGACCAGGACCTGATTATTCAGATCATTGCCGATGCAAAATCAAAATATAACAGATTGAGTTTAAACTGGACTAAACTTGGATGTTGATGGACCGGAATGGACCAATGCGCATCGCTTCGGTCTTTCCAGTCCAATTTTCTTGCGACGTGATCACATCACATCGGACAACGTTGCGAATGCACGTTTCGGAATCGAATCATGATTCAATTCCGGAACTTGCATTGGCAATGTTCTCCAGTGGCCACATGCTCAAACAGCGACAGAGGAGAACAGTAATTACTCGGTCGGAGTTCCGTTGTGCCACTATCTGGCGAATGGTATACTCATATATTCATCGCCATGGCGTATCTCTAGCTGGACAACTGCAGTGATATTCAAGGGAACCATCTTTCCACTTGGGCAAAAGTTGGGCTTATGGATCCAGGGAACGATTAACTGCTGGAGCAGCCTTGGGATATACTGCACACATGCGCACCTAGCAGAGACTCGCAAAAGGACATTCTTTACGTCATTCACTTTGCCTCAAACAACTCTTGCTTGTTGTCCAAGCGCTCCTGTCTTGTGTTGCACGGAGTGGTCGTGCACATCACCTGGACTTACCTTGTTGGTACAGTCCATAAGTAAACTTACCTCGGACCCTCGTGGCTGTAGATGGCATTTGCAACTTAGCCACATCTTCTATCTTGATTCCATCCACAAAGTGATCCCAATCAACTGCCTACGCGCGACGGCCATCCCTTCCTGGGGCGTGTGCTAACGCTTGGCAACAAGGGTGCTTCAATGCGGTTGTTGATCGCCAAGATCACCAACGACTGCCAATTCTTGTGATTGCCTGTTATGTCGGGCGAAACTTGCTGGCGTGCCTGAGCCCCTGTCCCCGTCGCCATTGTTGTTGTCACAATTGCGGCGACACGAGAGCCGAACGCCATCGCCCCCTGCCTCACCGCTTCCCCCCTCTCCCTCCCACGCGTGCTCCTTTGCCAGAAGAGGAGCGGGGCATGCAGCCGAAGTCACAGAGAATACCGGTGGGTGACGACATTACGCTGATGGGTGATGCGTGAATGGGGGTGAATGGACAGTTTCTGGGGAGTTTCAACTAGCGGATCGTAGCTGGTCACGCCCTCGTGGTGCCGTCCCAGCTTGTACGTTCCCACATCTCGTTCTTCGCCTGTCCAGGATGATATTTTGACGAAAGGGGCTGGACATGCACTTGTCAACTTGCTCCGGACTTTCCTCCGTCGAGCCAGCAATGTGACAAGCAAAGGTGAACGGCTTTTGTGGCTCCTCTTGCGGATGACGCCCATGAAGAGGCCCTGCCTGTTTCCAATGCGAGTCACATTTGGACACAGCAAGGCACATTGCGCGTGGCGCTGCTCAGGCTGTTTCTGGCGACGGAGGCGATGCTACCTTCCTCCCTTTGGCACGGATCGCCACCCAACCGTGGCCCCTCACTCAGGAAACAACACTTCTTCGCCCGCACAAGCTCCACCAGGCGGAATGACGGCATTAAAACACACCAATTACAAATCTGGAGCATCTCGTTCCGGGCAGTATGCCGCGCTGCGTCATATCAACCAACGCAGCCAGGTGGCCAGTACCGGCACCAACAAACTGCAACCAGCGTGTGCAGCACAGAGCGCCAGTGACTCACGCTCTTCAAGGATGGAAGAATGTGTACCTCGCTCCGCTCCCAGCAGACGGGCCACCTCAACAACAAGAAAAGAGAGCAACAGGACACGCCCAGGGGGGGCTTCAACCACGTGGTTAAAATGTCTAATGTGGGACACCAACGATCTACTCCATTCACGCCCATTCTGTGCACCAGCAGCTCCATCACCCAAGGCGACAATGAAATGCAGCAGCAGGAACAAACACACCAGGACATATCAATAACTGACAACGTGCTGTGCCGCAACAACCAGAAACCTCTTCCGAGTCAACCTCTTATGAAACACTTCCTGAACAGATGTGCGCCAGGGCGCAGCAGCACAATATACTGTACATATTTACCACCTCAGCCAGACCAGCAGTGGGTGCATTGGCTAATGGCACAGCACCAGTGCTGCCCTCAGGAAATCCTTTCTTCCACTTCATCTGCTGGAAAAGAGTGCGCTGACATCCACCCTCTGGTAGTATTATCTACATTTTTCAGTTGCCTGCAGTCAAACAGGCATTTGCATGACCCAAATCCTGCCAACGCTAACAAGCCGTCAACCCCAAAATCGCTGAGCATTCATTCAAGTACAAAGTTTCAACAGATGGGAAACACAACAGTGACACGAACCCTTCAAAGAAACACCTGCTGCTCGACGCCTAAGTCTTTATGTCACCACCATATACATCCAAATTCGAGTGAAGAAAACAGTCACAAAATTTTTGGCAGGCGGGTATCCAACACGCTTAACACAGGACAGCCACCTCAGGCGGGTCAGACACTGTCGGGCTGGCTCTGATTGCTGGCCAACTCGTTCTGGCCCTGTGCAGGGGCTCGTTTCCCTCCCGAAAGTCGGCTGATGCTGCTGAGGATATCTTCCACTGAAGATTCCATCTGCTTCAGGAGCCCCCAGTTGATGGATCGCTCCCCGACTTCCACGTCTGCCCTGGAGTGTGCACGGGGTACAGGCAGGGGCGCTGCATGTGAGCGCTTGGGGCGCGCCCAAAGGAGAGCGGGGCTGAGGTTCTCTGGCGGGTTTGTGAAGGGAGTGGGCACAGGAACGGCACCCTTGCCAGTCTGCGATGCCCCGCTGTGGCCCTTGTAGAACATCCCTGCAAGAGTGTGCACAACCGCCTGGTCTTGCTCCGTATGGCCAGACAACGGGAATCAAAAGTTGCCACCACACATTCGCATGCCTTGGGAAGTGTCGTGGGCACCAATTCACTTGCATTCCATATCTGGAAAAGGAGTGGCCTTGGAATCAACGGCACACAGCACAAAGCACATGGGCAGTCACTGTTGCATTTCTCGTCAGCAAAGGTGCACCCAGATCCCAACCATGAACCTCCAAAAAGCCATGGGCCAATACACACAGGGCTTGGCAACCCCGGGCAACACAAAGTCTTGACTGGGCACACGTACTCAGCATCATCCACCAAAAAACCACCCACAAATAACAGTCTTGCACACACACACACTTAGGAGGGGGGGCCCTTTGTATGACCCGGTTCTTGCTCCCTTTGCAACAATTCTCCCCCCCCCCCCTGGGCTGGGAGCCTGGCCACTCACTGAGCTGCTCCTTGCCGGTGGTAGACTTGCACGCCAGCTCGTAGATGTCCGCCTGGATCCCCACCACCTCGAAGGGCGACTCCTGAGTTGCCTCGGCCATGATGCTGAGCGGGTGAGCACAAGCACAGAGGAGCGTCAGGAAGGCCGACAACTTGTCTGACGGTCGAGGCCCGCAGCCATGCTAGAATGGGATCACCGCAACGTCCATCAGGTTGGGTATATACAATCTTAGGGACCGGCAGAGCCG